CCGTAATTTACGACAAAAACGACTCTTTTTGACATAGAACAAAGATACTAATTGTAATGATATGAACAATACTGATAATACGTCTCTTCACCTCTTTTCCTCACTTCGAAACAAACCTTGCGACTACCTCACCTCATCCTACATCACATCACAAACGAACATTTGTAAGTACAAGTGTAACCAAGCATTTATTCTGAATTTGCGGTAAAATGGAAGGAAGATATGCGCTAAATATGTGAATGAATATTCCACAAGATAGTTGAACAAATAGAATCAATATTGTGTTCGCCTATTATCTGCAATTTTTTATAACATTCGGTATGTTTTCTGTTAATCAAGGTTCATATCTCTAATGAAGAATATTAACGATATTTCCATTCATTTATTCAAGGGGTTTAGTGTCATACTAAGCATTTGGAATCGTATTTCACTTTCGATCACATGATTATTGAATGATGATAACGCTTAAAGTCTTTGTAGTGCCTTTGTTCATGTATACTCTTATTTTAATTTTGGGTTGGAGCAGAGTTGTTCTGTTGGCGTAGCAATACATCAGAAATGAACCATCGTATAATCAGAATTTTATTCATATTGTTTCTATGATTCCTGTGATATGGTGTACAGCGGTGAGATGTAAAAAGGTGATATGTTCAATGAATGGGTTTTACCACTATTGTGTTCATTTACTTGTCTAATTTAAAATGAAGTTAATATTTGATTTATGTTATTACATTTTCACGCATATAATGAATGCGCATCATTGAAACGGCGTTCAGTCATCATACTCTCTTTGAACGTAAGGACCTAGATTTTGCTTCATTTGAAAGAGTTTGAAGATATTTGGATATATGCATTCCAAATGATTTATTCAAGTATATTTGCTGTTAATCGAAGAAGTGCTGAAACGAATCCTTTTGTAAGACAAGAACGAGATGAATGAATGCATAGAACGCTTCCTTTCTTCGTTGTTCCAACCCTTTGATTCATCGATTTTGTGATTGTGAAATATATGGCTGTGAAGTGATAGGTTGTGAAAGATGGCCTTGCCAATGAATAGCCATAATCCTTGGCATGTTCATGTTCACTTTTGACAGTCACGTCAAGACCAAAATCGTATGTTCTTAGGTAGGCTATAGGTCAGCTGAAAAATGAACCACATTTACGTCTGGTGTTAAGTTAATCTATTTTACGTTCATTTCTGAATAGTAATTGATTTATGATGGTGTTAAATGATGATGTGATGAATGTATTGCTTTCATCCACTGCCAATTTTTCGAATGGTTTTGTTCTCGTATTGTATCCACATCAAAGCAATCGTGAAAGAAAAATGAACTTATGAAAAGTCATCGCCATAAACAAATGATCATCATCGCCGGTCAGTTCTTTGAAATTATTTTGTTCGCATTATAATTAATTATACGCTATACCCACACACCAATGTTCACTTAGTAAATGAACGATCTAAATAGTACCAAAGCGCGTATTTGTTTAGACGATTCAGTTCAAAGAAAATATATTGAATTTTTAAAAATAAGTATGATAATATGCCAGATGAATGAACTTCATCAGTATACTGTTCTCATATGTTGGTTTTATTATAAATTTAAGATTTCGTACTTCGTTTCACATGCATGATTACAGAAATTATGAATAGCCACAACGGCATTTGCCGCAATTGGCACAAACCGACTATCTCAGATCTGTGCTCCAAGTAAAAGTCATTGTTCGAACTTGAGTAAGAATCTCGTATAGTATCGCAGATGAATAAGGGTTAAGAAAATTATGTTTCCATATCATGCCGCTTTCAGAGGAGATTAAAGAAATATTCAGTGAAATACAGTTCATATGGCAAATGGCTGGATCGAACGACCCTTAATGTTCTATTCAATTAGTTTTCGGTCTGTGCCAAAAAAGTCATCGTGCCACTACCGTGAAAGCAGTACAAGAATACATAAACGATTATAACAAGAAATTTGTTCATTTAGCTTTCTCCGTTTGAAACATATACTTTCAGGCATTGTGCGAATCCTTGACGAAATGAAATATATATAATCGTGATACATTTCGTTGAAAGCACCGGGCTCAGCAAATTCTTTATATGATGCTAAAAAAACGTTAAACATATTTATAGTAAATCAAAGTTAAGCTTATCGAATTTTTCTCTATCAAATACTGTTAATGATGATTCTTTACATATAATGGCCACGAAAACAAAATTATATGAAACAGCGTTTCGCCGCATCTAGACGCATGATTTTGTGTATGTAAACCGTCGAAATATATTTTTTTTAACTATACAGGATTTCCGTCAAAGTAGAGTGTTCTTTCTTTTCCTTCTAATAACTGAAATATTTGTAGTTAATTACTAATTAGAGATTTTTTTAAATAATCGTAAGCAAAAACCACAAAAAAGTCATAATTAATCCGTTTATATTGAAAAACAATTTTAGCACCGAAACGATGACTGAAAGTATACTTTGTTTCAAATGATTTGAAATTTTTTCGGATAGAATTATTTTAAGTTATTTTAAATGCCGATTCTCGTAATTTAATAGATATAAGCATATCGTTTCTATATTGATAACAGAAAATTTGACTCAATAGCATCAGTTAGAAATGAAATCGAAAGTCCCTAGTTCGAATCTAATCTATATTGGAATGAATAGAAATATTCAACAATAAAAGCTCGTTCAAAGAAGATTCGTTTTGTGTTATCCATTGAAAAGAAAGCGTTTCAATACATTCAAAATAGTGTGTGTTAAGTCTAGCGAAAACATGTGAACAAAAAATAAAGGAAGCGTTAAAACGTAGATTTGAAGGTGTGTAATCTCTCTAAAATTATGTTCCTATGTAAAAGTTTCATCTCAAGATGCGGATCGTGAGCTACGAAGTATACAGCTGAATATTTTATTACTAAGAACGTATAGAATAGTCTCACTAAAATGCTGTTGATTTTCATTTACGATTTGAGCAACTTCACGCTCCTTTGTATTTTAATTTTCTCTTTTTCTTCTTCTACTAGTTAAATGATAAAGTATGAGATTTATTATAGAACTACTTTCGATTTGTCTGTAAAATATATACGTAGCTAGATTTGTACAGATAATTCAACAATATAAATACCATAATTTATAATTTCAAATTCGAACTAGTAATCGTTTTTAAAAATTTTGAAATCTATAAAATCAGATCAAAATTTGAATTCATCACAAAATTACTTATTTTTTACATTTAAAAGAAAATTTTTTATCCTTCTTTTATGTACAAGTCGAAGCTCATTTTATCTGATTTGGAAACTTAATTTTTTGATGAGCTTGGAAAGTAGTTTTGTTACAGGCAGAATACATATGAAACTATCTAATTACAAAACAGAAAAAAATCCATTAACGAAATGTAATTCCATAACGGTTGATATCGGAACTATCCCTTTTGATACGTTTTACAAAGGAACATCAATTTTCTTTGTTTTGATAATAGAAATCAGAAATATCTGTCATCATTCCTTTTTCTTTATTGATGAGCATTATTTTATTGCCGAAATAATAAGAGTGGAAGCCAAAAAACAGCGAAATTTCGGAACGATTGATCATGCTCATTACACAACCTAATGAATTCTTATAGTGAGAACAATATGTTAACTTGATATAATAGTCTTAATAGGTTTTTAGAAGAACTTAAAGTTTTCTTAACTTTGTTGCCATATATTTCTTCGAAATGATTGATTCATTTTTGTAACGGAATAAAAAAACTGTCCTGTGTTGTGATACCTTAGCACTTTATGTACATGATGACTCTGGCAGATATTTCTGCCATGCTGTTAACCTTTGATTTTTAACTCAATCACAGACCCTGCCACACAGTTGAAGGAAGTCTTTATATGATTAGAAATAGAAGACTGTAATAAGAGCGCCATTGCCCATATATACTACAATTCTGGTTGATTAGAATTGAACACTTATGATAGCAAACTCTTCAAATCTGTAGAGAATATCTTTAAAATATGCCATGTAGTATACATGAAAATATTTTGTAATTTCAACACACTGCACAAAAGGGCTAGTCAAAGATATGCTGAACTTTCCAAAGACATCTAGAAAGATTTCAGGTATTCCTCCATGTTCTCTGTCAAATATGACACCCACACCATTGCGAATCTCTACTCTAAGCTTAAGATATTATCATAGTTAGTTCATTTAATACTAATCTAATGATTTCTATGGAACATAATTCATAAGAAAATTCTCATTTTCTACTTAAAAAAGTATGAAGTTACCTGTCTTTGTAGTGATTGGTGTTGGCGGTTTTGGTACCACGCTTGGTGTTATTGGCTTCGGTGTGAAAATTGGTGTTGGGTTGATTTTTTTTGTTTTTTCTGGTTTTGAGACCGGTCCCGGTAAAGTATTTTTCAGTTGACTAAGATCAAATGGATCAGCTAACATGGGAAATGGTGGGGGAATTTCTCGAATGTGAATGATATTGAGACCGTTGCCTGGACTTAGCTTATCAATCACTTCAAAATATCGACCAGGCGGAAGAAGAATTTCATCTTCCTGTTGAAAATACGAGTGGGCTTTAATGCACTTTCCACTGGTTGTCTGAATAGAAAATATTGTTCTTTCACCTGAAGTCCCCAGATACAATTCAGATTCAAGAACACTGATTGCAGCTGTACAAGAACTAAGTGCCCACCAAGCAACTTTTCTTCCTTTCGTGTAGACACCGCCAAGGTCTTCTGTAACGCCTCTCCAGATAATGGTATGTTGACTGGATCTAAAATTTTACAATGATCATGTATTCTGTTTCAAGTGTGTTACTTACGGCAATTTAAAAAAAGCTGTCATAAACAGCTTTAAATATCTGAACCATGGTTTCAGTTTTGAACGATCAGCCATTCGAAGAGTTCGATTCAAAACTGCGTAAAGACTATTTTCACGCTTTTTCCATTCCATTGTATATAGATGAATTGAGGCGGATTCATCTGGTGTTAGTTGGTCGGCCGGTTCCTCCGAATTCATTTTAGCAATAACCATATTTTGCTTTAATTCTTGATCCAATATCTTTTCTAATGGTTTGCATGCCTCTTCTATAGATAAAAGAGGCTCTTCTTCGTAGCCAGAAATAGGTTGTAACATCTGCTTCGGTTCATCTTTCAAACTTGTTAATAAACGATGGTTGATGGTTGATGCTGTTGCCATGAGATAATCTGTGATTTTTATCTGAAATAGAATCAAAAGAGAAACTTTATGTGTGTTTGGTACAACTAGCATACTTAGATAAGTAAAGAACGATGTGAGTAAACAATTAGGTCGCTAAGTTTCTCAGAAGTAGATACATATTAGGGCAAAACAATCGAATTTCTGATTCAGTCATATTTGTTCAACTCAGGTCAGTTGACAGGAATCTATGAAATCAGATTGATGCATGATAATTCATTATCGAATGCATTAGAATCTAGATCTTTGATAGATTATGTTCATTTTAATTCAATTTCATTTGAGTCGAAACGTTTTATGAACTTACTATCTGAAATCATTTCATGAGAGAGATATGGATAGGATTTTATGAAGCGAAATATCGCACTCGCATCAACAGGAATATTTCTTTAGGTTTCTTCGCTCCAAAGATTTATTTGAGTGCTGTGGGCCTTTGCCATTACAGAATTTGGGTCTACGAAAGTTGGTCGAACGAAAAATGGTCGAACGAAAATTGATCGCGGTTAATTGGTCGATGTGAATATTGATAGATACGAAAATTGGTCGACAACAATATTAGTCGAGTTTAGTTAAAAGAAAACAATTTCTTTATTAAATCATGAACTGATATTAATAAAATAAAAAATGATAAAAGATGTTCGGAAAATGATAGCAATTTTGAAACAAAAAGGCATTTCTTTTACACATATATGGGAATCGTAATAGGCTAAAGATTAACTCACAGGACTGTACTTTTTAGTTTTAATTATGCTTTAACACAGTAATCTATATTTCATATAATCCTAATTGGATTATGTTCGAAATTCTTGAATAAGTTCTATAAAAAGCAGTAATACAAATCAAATCTAAACAATCATATCGCAATGTCAACATTCACCTTAAGTACAACGCAAAAGAACAAACCTCTCTTACTTTCTAAAGGATTCAGTTATACCATTGACAAAACAACAAATGATAAAACGTATTGGAAATGTGAAGATGCTTGAAAGCTCAAATGCAAAGGTCGCGTTCATACTAATAATATTAACACAATATTACTACATGAAAATGATAGTCATAATCATAATGGTAGTGCCGTTTCAACTGAAATCAGATTATTCGAAGAAAAAGTTCGGGATCGCGCAATGAACTGCAACGAAGCAACACAAACTGTTATTGATAATTGTTTGGTCAATCTATCCGATAATGCTATTGCTCGACTTCCTAACTTTAAACATGTTAATTAACCGCGATCAATTTTCGTTCGACCAATTTTCGCTGTCCCCTAAGTTCATAAGCACAACAATCTACATGGACACTAACATCCAACAACTGAGGATAGCAACGAACAATCATAAACAAGCACCACGAATCATAATTAGCCGCTCTTTATGAAGTCTGGTGAGGCTTCAGTTCATCACCACAGCGTGAATTATTTATCTTTCATTATTTGTGCGTTTATACTGTAAAAAAAATCGTAGAATACCAAACCCTAGTGCTAAAACAAAGGTTTCATAAACCCTTAAAGGGTTTACGTTTTTCTCCGAAACTCTAAAACCGTTTATTGTCTGAACCGCTTATGAAACTAAGGATATTTGAAAATAAAGAGGATTCATTGCACCAGAATTTAAGGGGAAGGGTTTATGAATCTACGATGAAGGGTTTATTATTGTACCCTTTCATAAAATAGTTTCTGCCGCTAAAAATGACGTTGACTTTTCTGGTTGATGACACTATTCATCAAGTATTTTTATGATTAGATTGGAAATCGTACAATAGAAACAAAGATTAATGAAAAACAGAATAACTTTAGCTCTCTCTATGTTGCAATAGTTTGTAATCTCATATCAAAAGATTATCATTCTTCATTAATTATATTAGCCTGACAAAATGAAACTATGTTCTATGTAGGTGAGGCTTCTATAAAAAGACGTAAGTATAATTTTCATTAAACAATTTTTATTTTTATTTTTTTAGTGAAAAAGCAGATTCAAAATCATAGGTAATTATTATTTAAAAAAAGTAATGCTTTTAATTTTTCTCAAATAGATTTTCTTCAAGGGCTGATCAAACTGAACATGATTCTTGGCTAAAAGTAAGCTTCCCGAAAGCCGTTAGAAGGGTATTTGAAAGGGTTTAGTAGCTGGACGCAAGTCCGTATCAGTACAATGTTTGCATACATTGTATTTATTATATACACCTTTCAAATTGATCGAATACATGTAGTCAAAAATACTAAAGAATGGGACTAGATCTTTACAATTTCATAAAAAAAGCTTATCAACTCAGCCTATTTAAGATAGATGTACAACAACTTACAATTTAATGAGTCAGATCTATGGACATACTCGTTATCAATTAGTACGGTCTACTAATCAGATATTTTTACTATCCGTGGACTCTCAGGGTGTGGGTTTGTTGAATGATGAAACTGTAGAAAAATAAAATACTTCCATGGTTACTCTCGCATGCATTGCCTATGTCTGGACCGAGTGAGTGCAGATTTTTAACCACCCTTGATCGTAATGACAACATCAAGGGTGGGTTACAGGAATCTTAGGCAAGGACTCAGTATTTACGATCCAGTTTTACCTATTTGAGCGAAAGATTTTTCGTAATGAAAAATTGTGACACGTGGGTGAGATGTTGATCAAGCGTTGCATGTACCAGAGGTGTGCGAACCATGGGTGGGACTAGGGATGCAACGGTGACGATTAATCGTTCACCGTTCCGCCGCTTGAGACCGGTGCATCGGCGAACCGGGCCCCGGTGGGAGCGGTGAAGCAGTGGACCGGGGTCCGGTCGGAGTGGTGAAGCGGTGAACCGGGCCCCGGTTCACCGGTGAAAGCTGGAAAGACTACAAAACACCTACGGTGAAGGCCAGTGCAGTGGTGCTACCAGATCACACTGATAGAGATATCTCTGAATCTTAGAAAAAACTGGCCTTCACCGTAGGTGTTTCGTAGTCTTGCCGGCTTTCACCGGTGAACCGGGCCCCGGCCACACCGCTTCATCACTCCCACCGAGGCCCGGTTCACTGTTTCACCGCTCCCACCGGGGGCCCGGTCACCGACCCGCCGTTTCACCGGTCTCAAGCGGTGAAACGGTGACGGTGGAACGGTTTTTGATTGTTACCGTTGCATCCCTAGGTTGGACCCCGCAGGGTCGGCGGGGCGGGTCGCGAATTTCTACAAAATTGTGGGGCTGTTGGGCTATGGGTAGGGGTTCATGACGGGCGAGCGGAGTGGGTGAAATAAAAATAAAAGGCACGGGTTTCGGGCGGGTCAAGATTTTTCACGGGGCACGATGAAGGGTCGTAAAAAATTATTGAGTGATCGTTAGTCTAGGTGTGTAGTACGACATACAGATTGATTGGCTCTTTATTTTCATGTTATGATCTACAAGTTTGCCTTTTACGTATTTCTTTTTTTCCTTTTCGTTTGGTAAAGACCCGGAGCTGACAAAGCAGTGAGAAAAAAGTTAAACAACAGCAAGTGTTAGGTGATTGTTCTGCAAGTTTTTGAACGGGTCTAGATATAGCATTGACATCAGTAGATAGAGAAAAAGATGCTGTATTGAACTATGCTTTTGGATTTTCCTGAAAAATAGAGGACGCCATCACACAGTGACGACATATGAATATGTTTACTGCAGCAAAATATGATTTTCAAATACTCCTAGATCAATTTTCTCATATTTCTGTTTTACCACATTATTTTAGCTATAAATTCGCCTAACTACCACCTTTTTCAATCCCACAAGAGATCAGGTAACTTTAGAATATCTTCGCGCAATAATAACAGTAATTTGTTTACATAAAAGCTGTAGGAAATGACAAAAGAACAATTTATCTGATAATAATATTTAATTACACAAATAATATAATTATATAAATACTACATAAGACAGGTTGTGGGTGTCATTAGAGACATGGAGGAAATGGACACCACCCCCACCATAGATGGAACCGGTCTGCGCAATTTTTTAGTCATATTTCTATAGAACATCAAATATTTGGTCTGTAGATGACGTAAACAAGGACAGTTAAGGTTTTCATGTGGATAATATAAAATTCTACTCTTAAATTGTAAATGATATTATACAAAATTTGTGTTATTTTAATTCTATAAGACTATGCACCAGTTGCATAGTCTTATAGAGTATATGAAAGGCGATACTCTAATATTTGAAGCATGAATTATACTCTCAAAACTACATTTATACTGTTTTCGACAATTCACCTCAAAGGGGCAAAAGCGTATTTCTATATTTTCATATTTCTATCTATTTCGAAAGTATTTCTAAGTGTTTTTACGAATTTCTATGTATTTCCAATTTATTTTTACATATTACTGTATTTCTGAAATACATATAAATACATACAAATACGTAGAAATACTGAAATTTGGTCAAACTACATGAAAAGACCCGCCGGTTTTTTGCCAGTTTTAGCATTATTATAGACCGGCCGGTCCGGTCCGGGCAGAAAAAACTCGACCGGTTCCATCTATGACCCCCACCCTACACTTTTCTCTCAGGTTTTTTGTTAAAAAATCTAATTAATTATATACAATAAATAATTTAAAATAAACAATTTGTTAAATATAAAATTTCTTCGGGTTATACGGACGGGGCGGGGAAGCTTACGCAATTTAACTGCACGGGGGTCGGCGGGACGGGTGTTAGAAATTCGCGGGGCACGAAAATTCCCTGTCCCGCACAACTCGGCATGTACCTCTTGTTAAGCGTAGAAGTCGGAGAAACTTTTTAAAAATTGAGGTTCATTACGAAGACATGTTTCGCGGCCACGGTGATTGAAACCAGTCAGACTTCAGGTATTATTATCCATCGATTTCATTTTTTTAAAAATTGAAAATCTCTAGCCGTCGTTGCTGATCAACGCGCTCCCCCTACCATTCAGAGTTGTGCGGGGCAGGGATTTTTCCCACCCCGCTCGCCCCCCGTATAACCCGAAGAAATTTTACCTTTAGCAATTTGTTTATTTTAAAAAAGTATGGGTGGGGTGGTGTTCGTTGACTTCATGTATCTGATGACGTCCACACCCAGTGTGCCCCGTGAAAAATCTTTACCCTCCCTGCTCGCCAGTCAGTGAATCAATACCCGTAACTCGTCAACCCCGAAGTTTCGTAAAAATTCGCGATCCGCCCCACCGATCCCACCCTCATAGTTGATCACCCCTTATTGAAAATACTGTTATATACTAAAGAATAAAATCGAGTACCTAGTACCACCATATAGATAGTCATCAAAGGCGAGGAAACGTAACGGGACTTTAAAAAATTGAATACGGTACTGATTTAACTTACTTCTGTCTGCAACTTCTGTAGTTCAAATATTTTGCATACCAAAATAAAGAGCATGAACGATTATCAGCTATTGCATTATATAGAAGAAAAAGTACGTTTTTTTAACAAATTCGCCGACTGTTTGCAGTGTTGCACAAGAAAAAGAAATGATTTTAATTCACATTTCGACTTGCGCACTTGACGAGATAAAAAAAATACCTTCGTAACTACTATGCAAGCATTGAGGAAAAAACACGTGTTCTGACTGCACACATCATCCTCCTTTTATTGATTCAAGAGCGCAAACGAAAAGTTTCTTTTGTGCCGTTAGAGTTCTTCCGAGATAAAATAATATAAATTTACGCTCTCGAGAAATACGCAGAAAAAAACTACCATCAACTATGCACCGTATAGAAATGCTTTTATTTGTTTTGGTTACCTTGTTTTTTAGACTGTCACGTAGTGTCTGCACAAGTCATTCATTAAATATAAAATAGCAATGTTCATATCACATATCTTGAGATTCAAAATATGTGAATAATTTAAAATAAATGTTTTTATCGGTGAGAGTTATAGTTTTATTTTAAATAATATCGGTAAAGTAAGACATGCGAGAAATAGACAAAACTGCTTAGGAAAACAAGGACAAAAGGAATGAGAGAAATTGCACTGATATAATAGGATTTAGATCTATGACACATATAATATAAACACCGAGCAGCAGAAAAAAAGAAATCAAATGGTTTGTACAATGTTGTTTTAGTTTTATCGTTTGTTCGATAATTTAAATACTTGTTCGATTTGTTTTTCAGACCATGGCTGTTGCCATTTTAAATAATGTTGAAAAACTTTTAATGAACGTCCTTTACTGTTCAGAAAATTTGATAAACGTTGCTTGAAATTTTCTTCCATATTAGCATGTTTCGATGATATATGTAAATTGATACATTCACGTGATAAAACAACGAAAAATTCTTCATGTGAACAAACATGACAACGATAAAAAACATTATGTGTTAACCATTCTTTTGAAATTTCATTAGATGATAAAATAACCGGTTTCGTTTCGAAAGATGGATTCGTTTCTGTGATTACTTCCATTTTTATCGGACTCTTACGTGTAGTCATTCGTGTTGGTTTTATCATTGAATTTTCATCAATGTGATGATTTGACTCCGTATTCTTTTTACTGGAAGATGATCGTTTTCCATTATCATTTGTTCCATTGATAATACGTATAAAATTACATTGATCGTTTTGTATTGGTTCAATTTTTTGTTTTTTTAATAAAACAGGACTAGGACTTCGGTGGTTTGTCGGTTCTTCAACGATTGGAATAAAATAAATTGGCATTGGTTCTGTATTGTTTCGCCTAAAATACCGATGCACAATAAAAAATAGTATCAAATTCTTACAGATCTATGAAATTGAATCTATTTGTCTCATTTTCTAATTTACAACTTACTCTCTTGATGTTCGACGTTGTCTTAGAGTAGTTATATCAGATTGCACCGGATGTATAACTGGATTATTGATTTCATTAGTTTGAATTGGAAGAAAATTATTAATGATTGCTTCTGATGGTAAACTACTATCTATCAATGTTTCAAAACGATGATAATTATCATCAATTTGAACATTAGACGGTATTGCTTGATTATTCGGTTGGAATGATTGAAAATAGTTTCGTTTGAGATTTTTTTGTAAATTTAGTGAATAATCTGTCATTGTTTGTCGAAGAATATTAATAAATGAATATGCTGTATAGGATACTTGTTGTTGATGATCATTACTATTGATCATGAGTTGAAATTCTTGACTAGCTATTGAATGTATTAAATGAAAATAAATTTTTATATCAGAAAAATAGTTCTGAAATAAATTATTTGTTGATAGTTGAACTAACGAATGAAAATGTGGATCAAAGATTAATGGATAGGAATTATTTGCATTTGTATTCAAACGTTGACGAGAATTGATTTTTGTTGGTAAATTTATAGAGTAATTTTTCTTGTTGAATATTTGAGAATTTTTATGAGATTTTTTTAATGTTGAACATTGTTTTTTTAATCGTGCTCGTTTAACACTAGCATAGAAATTGTTTTGTTCACGTCGAGAATATTTATATGTATGATATGACAATGAAGATTTTGTATTTAAATTCTGGTTTGAATTTTTTCCTTCATAGTCGCTACTATTGAGAGACAAACAATTGTTTGTACTACAAATCGGATCATCAAATGATGGTTGGTGTGATAATGGAATTTGTAAATAAGAATTCGTTTTGTCTTTAGGCTTGCAGGATACAAATTTATCTTTACATCGATGTAATTTTAACACTAGAAGAAGAAAATGAAGATTTCAAAAGGAAACAAAAAAAAAGAAGACTTACTGTGAAGTAAATCACGATCTGTTTTATTCAGTCGTATTAAACTAATGGTTTCATGATTTTGTCGAGTAGAATTTTTCGTGCGACATTGTGAAAAATGAGACAATAGGGAAGAACGATTGCGAAATTCATCATAGCAAAAATGACAGATGAAATTTTGACAGACTAGAACAAGAGAGAATGAGTTCGTAGATAAATAAATACAAACTATCATCTTACCTATCGATGAAGCCATTAGATTTTTATAATAGAAAAAAATATAATCACCGGAACAACTTAATAATAACTGTTCATAATCTACAATAAGACAACATTAATAAGATGAAGAAAAAAAAAGTTATTAATCAAATGACGAAAAGAAATGCGAAAAAAATAAAAATTATTGTCTTTACAAAAAACATTTCCTATCGATACTCTGTTATATCATTAGACGTTGATGTATGCTGATCGAATTTAAATGTATCAATAAAGTGTCCAGATATTTTTTGTTTTAATTTATGAAATAGATGTATATGCCGTGAATTAATTTGTGTCTGCTGATTTAAATCATATTCTAATTGTTCAATATGTTTTAAATCTTTTGCTTGTATAGCTAATGTTATTGATTGTAATAAATAGAAGAGTGTTTCATCTAAATAGGACATTGGAATGTCTAATTTTTCGTAGGATTCCCATGTATATGCATCTAAAGCTTTCGCGTAATCCGAACGAAGACGTTGTGGATGTGGTTGTAAAATAAGTAAAAGAAAAAGACGTACAACATCATAATTAGCTAATAAACAACGATAACTTATGTCATTTGTAGATGTTTTCATCAAACGTTCAATAAGACTTGTTGTTGTTTGTAATGCTAAATTATAATTTTCATTATCAATACGTATATTGATTAAACGTTGATAGATACATATTTGTATTGATAATAGATCTTGAAATGAATCTAATGCCATAGAAAAAAGACGTTCACTTTCTTGAAATTTTTCTAACGCTTCTAAATGTAAACCAACTTGAAATGTAATTAAACCGGCTAAATAACGTTCGTTTTGTTCGCGTAAATTTTTCTGTGCCAATTGATAGACAGATAATGCTAATGATAGATTTTCATGATATGACAATGTATTTGTATCTTTTAATTGTAATTCAATTTCAATAAAGATCGAAGTTGCTTCAAGTAACATTTGCAGTTCACTTGTTGAAGATTTTAATTCGGAAAAACAACGAGACGATTGAATTAAACATAGGCCAGCATATTCAAGACAATTTTCTTGACGAAATTGACGAGATAACGATTGAAAATCTAACGCAGCTTCAGCATACTTTGGTTTACGACTAGTTACAACACCACCAAAACGAACTTTTTTTAATTTACCATAAATGGTACGTAATCGTTCAATATGATCGATTGTTGGATCCATTCTACAAGACTTTTATCCTAATAATAAATATGTTATTTATTCGATATATAAGATTTTTTTTTTGTAGAGTAAATATCGATTGGCTAGTTGTTTATCTGAAATAACAACATATGTAATTTCCAGTTTTCGATAGATGACGCTGGGATCGATTCACTATGAGTTGTTTTTTTATTAGCAAAACAAATTTATTTGAATTCGTGTTTTATTCGACGCTGCCACCATGCAAATACGCATATATTTATCTTTTTCATCAGAATGCAAAAAAAAGGAAATAAACTTCTACTTGACTATTACTCATCCATCGTGCTTTTGCGTGACGTATATATTTCATTTCTTTTTGCTTTTCCTTTTATGAAAGTATTCTATGTTTTTGACGAAGTGTCAATCGATATATTGTTCATTGTTTTTATTGTGTCAAAACAAATATACAAGCGCATTAGAAAACAAAAAGCAACAATAACAAATGCTGATTCCCGGTCAAGAGACGTTTTTACAAGTTACTAATAATCTGTCACAGATGATTTTCTTTTCAATATGCTTTGTATTGTCAAAACAAATAAATAACAAATAGCAAAACAATGCTTGTAAAAATACAGATAAAGATAAACGAATAATAAATGTATGCGCGTGAATATTTAAACTAGACTATAATATCGTACTTATTGTTATCTTACGCTCTTTCTGGCCAGCAGAGAAGTAAATACATTCACTGTCTTTTCTTGAAAGAAAAAAAGAGAGAGAGAGAGAGAAAAAAAATAATAAGAATCAAACATTCATACACAAACTCACATATATCTTATCTGAAGTCGAGAGGCTCAAATAACATAAAACAGTCAAACTACAAGTATATGTTTATGAAGAATTTTGTTTTTCTTGTTTATAAAAAATAACAATGAAAGAAAAGAAAAATGAACAATTCTAGGATGCGCAACAACAAACTAAATCTTTTCAACAATTACTAAAATATTTATGTACATTTGAATACGAATATGAGCTACTGTTTTTTCTTTTTCTCCTTTATATTAAATTTAAATTGCACACTCACGATCATTGATATCTCACCGGCTCATATAATAGTGATCGTGAGAGAGAGAGAGAGAGAGAGAAACTGCAGCTAATCTACTCAAATAATTTTGTACATAATTCTAATACTTAGATTTTCGACTACCAATAGCACCCGTTGAAATAGGATAGAACGGTGGTTCCTCATAGAAAGGAGCTAATTGGTCAATATTCATTGGAGTTGGCGTCGTTGGAGATGTTGAAAAATTTGTTGGCATGATAATTGTTTGTTGCTGTTGATAGATATGACGTGGCACACGGCGAGTATGTTGAGTTTTACGCACCGCTGATGGATTTGGACCACATTTTTGTATAGCTAAAGCTTTATATAAACGATTGAGTTTGTAATAATCTAGAAAAACAACAAGAAAATAAATTTTATCATTCAATATAAATTAAAATCTTACATGGATAACTTTCAACATAACCACAATAACCACTATCAGATGATTCATTTGATGTTGTACTATTCATTGAATGTGGTGTATCGGAACGTTCAGGTTGACTATGATTTCCTTCCATGAGTAAGCGATCATCAATATTAATACTATTTTCTAATGGATGTCCTCTAAATGGAACACTAATTGGAGCCGATGAGAACATTTGAAACGCTGGAGCTTGTGGTGATAAAGCTCTCGGTGGTGTAAACAATGGATCATTGCGAAACATTGATTGTTGTGCAACTGAAAACGGTGATGATGTACGTTGTGGCGTTGATGAACCCGAATTACTAACTGAATCACATGGTGACGAATTTGTTGGCGATGTACGCGACGGGTTTACCATAGGAATTCGACTTTGAGAAAGTAATCCATCAAGATCATTATGCATAATTTCATTTCCATCTTTGTCAAATCGAGCAACAATTATTTGTTGATTATCTTTTGGACATACATGATTTCCCAATCTAAATAGAAATAGAAAACACTTGACATAGAATATTCGTTATCTCACGATTCAATTCATTCGAGATTATTCTCCGTTTTAAATTTGATGTTATCATGAAATAGAACGAAATCGTATGCTTTTGCTCTTTCATCATAGTTATGACATCTAATGACATCATTTCTCGTGATTACATTGCGCACTAACATTCTACGCATGTTTTTTGATGAATCACAGAGAACGGAAGAATACTCGTGCTGACGAAAAAAACGTCTAGTCATGATGATAGTACATACCTTATCGAAACTTCATAGGGATCAATCCATAAGGTTAATTCATGTCGAATGCCAAGTAAACTTGGTGTGAAATTTAAATAGCCACACACTTGACCGACAATAGTATCACAAAAGTCATTTTCTTTATTGAATTCAAGCGAACGATAAGCTTGTCCTTTAGTTGGTTTATCTGAAGAAAAACAAATTAGAATTTTATCTACATTTAATAAATCTAATATCTTACCAGGATACCAATGTCCTCGATAATGGTCAAGTAAAGCTTTTCCAAGTTGTAAACGAAATAGTTCGATAGATTCTTCCTTGGCTGTGCCGTACCGTTGAATATAGGCGCAAAGTAGATCAACTGCAACATCGATTTCTTGTTTCATTGTAAAATACATTTATGAGAATAGTTTTGCAAATGATAATATCTAGTGAATGAATAAAAATGAATGAATATATGTCGACCATTTATATAGTTAGGTATGACGTATGTTGCAATCTCGTATTTTCTTTTCTCTTTTAGATAAATAGTAAGCAAAACGAAAGAAACGAAAAAAGAAAAAAAGCTGTGATCCTTTTTTCTTACTAGTATATTTTGAAAGGAAAAGAAGAACAAAGCTATGTAAACGTAATAAACTACGCAATAATCAATTTATAATTGTAATGACGAATATAGATTATTGCTTGATTTGAAGGGAGAAAAATATAGAAGGAAGAGAAGAAGAAAAAAAAACAAGAGAAATGTTTTCCTATCCACCACGGCAATTCCATGGAAATTTCTCTTGTAGTTTAGATTCAGAAGTAATGATGACGTGTTACGTTGACAACTCTGACTCATTGAGTAACAAAACCAAAACATACGAAACAGAAAAGGCTTGCATCATTACCGATTAACATTTACTCAGTAAACATGTCATATATTAACATCCTATTGAGTTGATCTAAGTGTAGAAGTTATTTTTCGTACCAGATAAATCCCGTTAGGTGAATTTATTAAAATAAAAGATCATTGTATTTAGGTTTTTTTCTTAATCTTGGAAAAGATCTACTGCTGAAATCTATTTTGATTGTCTTTTTCTAGCAAGTGTTGGTTTTGGACGTACTGTTTTTTTCTTTTTCTTTTGGGTCCAAAAACAAATCAGTGTCAGCTGTGACTCTTCAACTAGGACGTTGGTGGGTACCTACGCATATTTGTGTTTTTCTCTCGAGCATGCTAGGACGCCTACGAGTAAAACTAAAAAGTATAACGATGCAATTGCCATATCAGTCTCATAGGAAAGTAAAATATTGCAGTGCCTGATATTATCGAGTAATCGGCATACCTATGATAGACAAGTAAATATCAACTGAGTAGAAAGAAAAAGAGACATATTTTCAAGAAAATAATACGAAATACTATCTACTTTTTATCTTTTATTAATGATAATTACGATCGGCGACTTGCAGCAGTCGATAAAAATCTATACTGTTTGACGCTTAATATGAATTACTTTACGGTCGTTCGTTTCGAAAGAAAAACAAGTAAAAAACATGGACGGAATTTCTTCGAAAATTTTATCAATCGTTAATCATCATAAATTACATATATAGTTTGTCATGTCTTTCTTTTTTTTTTTGTTGTCCATGAAAATTAGATGATGGCAAAAGATAAGCTGATACGAACACGTGCTGTTTGCTAAAGGTGAAGGGAAGTGAAAGCGAAAACAAAGCATAATAATAGTATTGATATGAATATGTGTATATTATAATCATACAGACAACAAAACTGTTCGAATCATATCCTATACCTGTGTATATATTATGTAGGATTTGAAAGATGAGGATAGTAAAAAATAGACATGGTAGTATTTTTCTTTGACAGCATGACAATTCAAAATGCGATGATTGTTAAAGTATGATTCGATAGTTTAAAATAGTACGTGCACGAAGAAAAGCCAAAGAGGACGATTGCAGGTGAAAATACCTTCATATAGAATCTATTTTTAATGGTTATCTTAAATTGAAATATTGAAATTGTTTTCATTGAAAAACAAATTTGTCTATTGATGAAAGAATAACAAATCCTATGACTCACCGTACCTAAAACTTCCCATCGAGTACATGTCATAAGATATCGCCTGTAATATATTATAACAAAAATACGGCGAAGGGAATTCCTTTGAATCAAATCTTATTCCTGCTCAATGGGACATGATGGAGTAGTTCTATCCTAAATAACAAATGACTTTATCCCATTTTGTTTGCAACTCTACTGCGATTTATTTTGTGTAATAGATTTATATATCGACTACACGCCAATATTGTTTTCCTTCAATTATGATCAGGTGTAGCATCAGATAAAATATTGTGCGTGAGAAAATTTTCATCAAACAGAAGAAAAATACCGATTTAGTCACTCCTGATATTAGCCATTGATCAAAAGTCTACTTTAATATATAACAAACTAACAAAAGACATACACTCAACAAGAGAAATAAAGCATACTTAATCAATAAAAAGAAGGAAACGAAGAATAAAAGAAGAATTTCTTTTTTTAATAACAAAAAAATCATGTTGGCGCAATGCTCGTAGTTGTAATAGGTAGCTGTAGATTAATAGGTAACGGCGTTGGCTGTTGAGCTAATGACGCTGGATTAGATGATAGAGAATTGATAAGTGCCGGTTGACTAGACGATGATAAACAGATCGAAGATAGACTAGTAGTTGCAGTTGGATTGGTCGATTCATCCGAAGAAGTTATACCGATAACTGTCGGAATATATTGAGCACAGATTTCACTGGGTACGTACTGTCGAAGGAATGCATTTTCATGTTCTGCATTACTCACTATGTCGTTCAATGTTCGAATTTGTTGTCGCAACTCAGTGACTTCATCACGAACAGCCGACAACAAATGCATTTTAACAAGATCCTAAAATATTCATAGAAATTTTTTCGTTCGAAGAAAACAATCAGGAAATCTAAAAACAGTGACTCACCATAGCAGCTGAAATTTTGCTGTCAATATCAGTTGTACTAAAATCAAAAAAATTAAATCAACATCGTTCATACTAATAATCAGAATGGAGCTAAGTGAGTTGATAGCTTAATTGATTTTTTATTTATTGAGCAACATAATTAGTTTAAAATATGTGTTTATGGATATATAAATGTATTGAATACCTGAGCTATCGTCTTAAATTAGGATAAGCTTGTCTTTCTAATTAACTAAAGCTTGATGATAGATGAACAATATTTAAAACAACAATAAAAAAGTAAAACTTTACTAATTTTCTTACTTATTTTGTTTTGTTGGTGTTGTTAATTCTTTAAGAATTTCATTAGTGATTTCAGTATTTTGACTATTGTTATTATTTAATAGATCCGTGGCAGCAACTTTTTGCGTTAAATTTAATGGTGAACCACCTGCTGTATACGTCAATATATCACTAAATGTTGTTGTTTTTATAGGTGAAATTAGTGATGGTGCCATTGAGTCAGATGTTGTTATTAGTGGAGATGAAGATATTAAATCAGCTACTTGTGTTGTATATGATGGTTCATTAGTAAACCCATTGACTAGGGTTGTACCTAAAGGTTTAGTTCTTGTTGTTGATGATTGTTGAGTATTGGTTTGGTTTGTATCATATCTTGGCAAAGCAAATATAGGTGTTTGATATGATGATTGTAGGTCAGCTGCTGTACTTGAAATCATTTGAGAAGGTGCAAAAATTGGCATTGGCTGATTTCGTGGAACAATCGTAGGAAGAGTTGGCTGAGGATGATACGATGGTATTGTTGCATAGGGTGATGTTGTTGATGATATTTGTGGCATATATGGTGCATGAGAATGATGAGCAGCATATAGAAACGGAGCAGCAGCAGCGGCGGCGGCTAATTGAGCATTTTGAAGTTGATCAGCTGTTGGATTTGTAAAGTTAGCAGAAGACATCACTGTATTTTCAGCATTAATATCAGACGCTAAACATAGAAAATGTATATTTTTTCTGTAATAGAGGAAATTAAGGAATTTACCTGCATCTGAAAGTCGAATAGGATCAGTGATAGATGCGGTTGCTGTAGGTGGTGGTAATGTCGGAGGTTGTAGATAAGGATTTGAAGCAGCTAGAGCTGCAGCAGCTGCAGCCCACGATGCTGGGTAAGGTGCATATGGTGTTGGATAGAATGGATAGTAACCGAATTGAGGGTGATTTGGTAAAAGATAAGGTTGATTAGGTAACGTTGCAGTTTGATATGCATGAAGAAGTCCAGGTGGAGGAGGAACATTAGCTGCTGGAACTAGAGTTGGAGCATTTTTAAGAGCCATTTGTTGTTGTTGAAATGCAGTTGCAACAGCAACAGCAGCAGCAGCAGCAGCAGCCGCTGACTAGAAGAGAAAAAACAGAATTGCCTTATGTGAAACTAAGATAATTTATTTCAAAATGAGTCATATATCCTTTTTTTTAAGCAAGAACTACTTGCAGGAAATTTGAAATATCGAGAAGCTTATTTATTTGGTCTTACATGTCGAATCGTCACTAACTATGTTACCCTTTGAAAAATATTGTTTTATCTCGATTAATCTTACTGACATTTTCTCAAAAGTAACTATTAGTGAATATTGTTTTTATATATCCTTGTGAAAACAAGCAAATTGAGCAACCCTTATTTTACTTCGACAACAAACGTGTAGGTTGAGTTTGTTACTTAGAGATTCTTACAGCAGATGAACCTACATTTGTATCAGCAGGAACTACAGTTGGTACAACAGCTACTGGAACATTAGGAATCGTTGTTGTTGTTGTTGCTGTGGTTGTTGGCAAATTTGCGAATGTGGAATTATTAGCAATGCTAATCGTCTCATTTTCAATGGTGTTTACTGGCGGAATAATTGCCGCTACAAGATTTTCCGGTGGTTCATAATCATTGACTTTCCATCGACCACGTCCAAAATTTCTATCAACACGAATCATTTGAAAACGTGACGGATTTCCTGATTCATCCGGAATGGCTGATACTGGTAGACTGGTATCATCATGATTAACAACAGTATTTACGGGTAATTTATCAAGATTAATAACTTGGAATTTTCCAATTAATTGTTCAGCTGGTGGACCGTTCACTGCTGACGATCCATTCATCTTCGAAGATTTCTAATTATGAAATTGCAATCATACAAAATTGAATTAATAATTTTTTTACATTATATTTATTATACTTTTTCTAGAAATGTATATATACGAAATTTTTATGTATAAACTAATATTAATTTAAATTTAAAAAAATAATAATGAATTTTTTTATTTATTTATTAAGTAGAATCACTCTACGAGTAAAATATTACTGAATTGTGTAGCAAAGATTTGCTTGACTTTATCTAAATCGAAGAAAAATTGCTTTTTGTTCAATGTGAGGAAAAATTAATTTACCACTAATCTCTTTCAGGTTTGCATTTTTCTGATTAACTACAAATAATAATTCACGCATATCCGATCGCTTTGATATAATCCATGGATCATTTTCACGTTTAACCATGATTTCACCAGATGGATGAAACCTAGACAAAATGCATTATGGAGCTTTTTTTAAGTTCAGTCCTATCAAGCAGAAACTACAAGAACTTGAATTTTCGATCAAAGTGATACATCATATGTTGCAATTTCAACAGTTAATTTTGTTTATTATGGCACTGGATAATGCAAAATGAAGTCGAGATTAATTATTTTTGCTTAAATTAGCTTCGAATTAGGGGTGTCACATTTAAATTTAAAAAAATTTATTAAATCGAGGAATAAATTTTCAAAAATTTAAATTTAAAATAAATTAACTTTTATTCAAATGAAAAGTTAAATTTAAAATAAGTTTAAATTCAAGAAATTTAAATTTAACTAAATTGTTTGAAATTCAAATTAGTTAAATTTTGAAAACTAGTAGAAAAACATAGTTTTTGACTTGATTGCTACTATTTAAAGTTAAATTTGAGTATGTTTCCTGTTTTCTAAAGTTAAAATTAGTCATTCTTCTATGAATTGTGCTATTAAATACATTTTTATGAGTATCCTAGTATTTCGAAGAACAAAGATGACGGATCCTGCATAATCTGTAGAGAAATTTTGACTATTATGAACAAATATTAACCTAAAATACTAGATTTTTTTCTCTCATTTTGTATTTACTACTGTTATAGTCACGCATTTTTCTCGTAGCAATGATGTGTATCCATCCAAACAATTTATTAAATTTAAAATTTAAATTTAAAAAAATTTATTAAATCGAGAAGTAAATTTTCAAAAAGTTACTTTAAATTAAATTTAACTTCTAAAAATTTAAATTTTTGCATCAGAAGAATTTAAATTTATTTTAAATTTAACTTGATAGAATTTTATTTAAAATTAAATTAACTTTTCACGAAGTTAAATTTAAATTAAATAAAATGTAAATTGACACCCCTACTTGGAATTCTACATATTTTTTGTAACTATGGATTAACTCATTTAAATATCACAGCTAGAGGATCACCAGTAAATCATTATGGGCGTACCCTCAACTTGTAATTATCGATTCAATTAAATGTGGAGGCATTGTTTTAATTTCATGTTAACAAATCCTACTCGTCACTTTATCCGGTCCAAACAGATTTAGAACGTCTCGCAATGCTATCATTAGAAAGGCAGGCACGTCTTGTTTTCAATCGCTTACAAAACGTGAAGAACTCAAAGCATATATATATATCGATCTAGATTGTTTATCGTTAGTTTTGACATGTTTGATCTAATGAAAACAGATGAGTATCATCACACGAAATCGAAAAGACTTTTCTCGCATTTTTCTTTTTAATACATGAGATAGTATACCACTCACGTTCCTTTAAGACAGCGGTACTCATGGGAATTTAAATGAAATACATATAATATATTCTGTTGCTTTTGCTTTAATCAGGTTACAGCGACCTGCACTTTTCTAATACGTCATTCATCATGCCAGCTCGAATATTTCAATGAAAAATAGTTTACCATTGCATATCTTCTGCCAATGTATTCATAATTCCAGCCATAGAATTAACGGGTTCACGAGTCCAATCAACAGTTGACGAGTATGCCATATTGATTTTATTATAATAAACTGTTCGTACAGTATTATCTGCTCTATAAAAAAATAATTTTTGTTAACGAAATTCGACTAGAACTAAAGAAAAAGCGATACTGACGATGGATATTTTTTCTTTAGATGTTCTTCAAAATGAGGTAGCATTGTATCTAAATCTTTTTTTAATGCATCAACTATTTGAGTATTCATATCTTCAATATTAGTAGAATCACCGTCTAATCAATGAAAAAGGTGTGTAGAAAAGCTAAATAATATATATTACAACATTCTTACCATCGTGGAAGAAAGAAAATATTGTTATTAAATTAATATTGACTACAAGAACTCGATATGGCATCGGTGGATTTCCCAGGAAAAATGCTTGATAAATTTGACTAGTTGGAGTGGCTGAAATAATTAATTCATCAGCTGGATTAGCATTTGTGTCAATGGTTAAATATCTATGAAGATTGATGAACCTGTGTATTTATTAACGATCAAATGCTTTTCTTGTCCTACTGTGTAGTCGATGAATTGAGTAAAACTTTAACATGTGGCCAATAATAAAGACGGAAAAATGAATAAACTAGACTAGTATCTTCTTGAGAAAGTCCGCTCCTTAATAAAACAAAATGAGAAGAAAAAAACCCATTAAGACTAATACAAGAGAAGAAAATCAAATACCATATAAGTTGATCTTTATATAGAAAAAGAGTTTCTTTTAGTGATGAAAAACGTAATTCCAATCGCCGTAAAATGGATTGTAGCTTTAAATAGAGCTTTTTTTCAACTGGTAAAAATTGTATGCCAATATAAGATGTATCTAATGTTGCATCTCGGATCATTGAAAGAACATGATGTTGAATAAACTAAATAATTGGTCAAATCTTTAATAGGTTTAACATATACAAGACGAAGTAATTGCTATTAAAGGCTGATCGTTTTTTTTTTCTACGTATATATTATTTTACTTAATCTTGTAGCTATGGATATATCAATCATGTCTGTCATTCGTCGTGACATTTCCATGCCAATAACTGTTATACTCTGCACAGGAAAACGATGCAAACTCGTTTCATGTATACATCTATTTTCTTACAAAATAGTTTCTTAAAACTATAGACTATTGTTTTTCTCATTACCTTATCAAAATGTTGTTTAAGTACAACTCTTAATTCTTCTACGCCACCATGTTGAATTGTTGTAGACATTGTACCATGTTGTAACTACAGATATTCCATGATAATCATTTTATTATATAAAATTCATCTAAATATAACTCACAACAAAATATCGATATGACATTTTTAAAATGGGTAACATAATTCTATCATTGATATTCTCATCGTAATATTCAGTAACGAATTTATCGTCTTTTTTTCGTTCGACAACAGGAATATGAAGTGACTAAAAAAAATATGTTGTTCGAAAAAAATCACGAAAAACAACTTTCCTACCATCGCTATACAAATATCATTTTCAATTTTATAAAATAGAAGACGAGTTTTTTGAAAATGTACACTGTCACATGGATCGTCAAAACCGAACGTTCTGAAAACAAAATGAAGAATATTTAAACATTAGAAAAAAAAATGAATTTCGAACTGTTTTACTCAGTGAATTTCACTAAGCCTTCGCAATAGCCAACAGTGCGTATTTGACGATCTATATCAACATCGGATGGATAATAATAAAGAATTTTTCGATTTTCCTAAAATGATTTACTTTATGAAAATGATTAAATCAATAGAATCGATCAAACCTGTCCTTCTTTTTCACATAATGATGGACAATATATAAAATAATCATTTAGATTAACATTAGATGAAATACGTTCGTTTGATGACGCCATCTAAAATAGTTAAATTATAATTTGATTTTCTTTTTTTAGAAGTTTCATTTCTTTTTTATTATTTCCTCTTTATATCATATCATGAAACGATAATTTTTGGATTGGACTCTTCACCAATTGTTTTTCTTATGATTGGTTAGCAAAAGGAAGAAATGAAAACAAAATGGGCTTCTAACCTTTCAAGTCTATGCGTTAACCACATCTATCGGACAACCACAGTGCAGCAACAGCCGGCAATGAGTTTTACACTATGCTTTCTATCATTAAAGGATTCAGAACGAGAAAAACGAAGATGAGTCGAAAGTCATTTTTCTGCTCGTAATGAAAATTCTAGATCCTAGTTGTGTATGTGCCCATCATCATAAGAGAAAAGCAATAACGCTATTGACTTAACTGATCAATGATAGTTCTTTTTAAAAAAAAAATACTACCTATAGTTTATCTTATCTTGACAAATGAAATAATATTTTCTAACTGTGTAAAATATTTTTGATGTATCCGAATATGAAATTGAAAGTCAATGAATAAACGAATAAATGGAACCTTGTGATGCTAGAGTATAACGCAACTCTGACTTAGAGTTGATTCATTCCTTATCACACATTAGACAGAAGTGGGCGCTGATATCATCGGTATTTTATCAGTATTATAAATATTCTATGTGCATATAGAACTTAAACTTCAATTCGGTTAGATTAAATCTGTTCTTTATTATTTTTTACAAATGTTAACAATAAAACATCGATTTGATAATGAAATAAGACGATTTCAATCTAATCCTGGATTTGAACCACTAGAACAAACTCAATCATCGGCACATCCGTTTACCATAGAATCAAAATCATTAACTAAACATGAGAAAATCGACGACCTGAACGATAAAGCATTGTTAGAAAGAATAACTAAAATGGAGTAAGTACATACTAAAAATCAGAGACGGAAATATTTTAATTCCTTAGAAGAAGAAAAATTTTTAACGAACGTGATCTCAGCATTGTTCATCATTCTTTAGCTAAGTTTATAATAATAACATGTCGATAAGAATTGTTAGTTATGACATGCGATACCAATATTTGATGTACATATTAAAAGTTTTGATGCTAAAGAAATAATCATAGTCATCGAATTTCTTTTCCCGGCTCTATTGAGATCGTTTTTTTCCATATTGGAATACAAAAATAAATTTCTCGTTAGCTTTAATATTTTCTAATTCGTTGACAATTCTATCGCTTGATTTTAAGAGAAGAAAGTGAGACTATACGTCGTGAAAATTTACTGTTTGCACGTTATCTATTACGTACAACTACATCAAAGATCGTGGAATCATTTAATGACTATGAAAACGAAAACGGCATTATCAAGGAAACAGTGGATCAAATAAAACTAATTGAATCTACTCGAAAAGTTTCATGTAAATATTCTTTTCTTTATTATTATTTTTCATTCAATCAAATCCAATGCAAATTTTCTAGTAAAAAGAAGTGTTAATACTACTACAGATGGTAACCCATTATGGACTAAGCGATTGGTGACTGTGCTTGCACATGCTAATATACGATACATTCCACCTATTGATCAAGATCGTTTCTTTATTGCTACGTATGAAGTTAAACAAACACATTTAGATTGGCAACGAATGAAAGCACATGCAGCTACTGTTTTGGATAATTTAAAGGTTAGTTTAGAAATCAAGCATCAACAAAAAAAAACAGAAAATACGTACTTTTTTTGCTGTTAAGAGTTTCTTATGTTTAAACAGCATCGTTGGTGACATCGGAGAATCAGTGAGCGCAGTTTGTTAAGGTTAATCGAATATATATATGTTGAGTTGCTGTAATGTACTGAAATAGAATTTGTTTGGTTTTTCCAGCACTAATGGTAGCGCCATATGTCTTATTTATTAATGCCAAAACCTATGAAACCGGGTTGAGAACGCTATGATTGCCATGTTCTTAAATACAGACTCATCGTCTATCTGTTGTGTAACATGAAAAATGACGATACACGATTTATTTCTTATGGAATTTAAATTGGAGATAACGAAGACATTGACCTTTCGCGTGAGTCCTTTGGGCGAAAATAGTTGTATTAACATACTTAAGAAGATGTGATCATAAACGGCTAATAATGTTAGAATGATTCTCCATGTAATAAACATCAACCGATGAGTACTTATGGTCAGATCTCTGCGCTGAAAATATTCGCTTTTGATTCATGAGGTGTTCTTACTTAAGTATCTACAAAATATTTTCGTAAGTTGTCTTGTCTGAATTTAGGTTTTATTTCAAAATATTCAATCTGACGAAGAAGCACAAAAAGACGTAAACTTCAGTTTACAAAGGCGTGCCGACAGATATCGTCGTTCTGATAATGATCAACACTTGAATAATCCCTATTACTCCGTTCCAGGTGAAGTTTTTGTTAACCGCGCTAATAAACAGCTCAACGCACGTATTAGTCGCATTGGTGCTTTTGTTGTCAATTCATCGCATATAAATTTACGCATGCATGAAATCGATGAACGAATCCGTCAAGTAGAAGCTACAGCTTCTAGAATCAATCGTGTTGATATTGATTTGATAACACAAAAGATTGACCATTATTCGGTGGAATCGGACATTCTTAATCGACTTTGTATAAGAGAAAAAGCATTGCTACATGAGCAAATACAGTTTTTAGAAGATTTAAAAGCAGATCTACTTGAACAAGAAACGATGCTGAATAAAACTGAGAAACACATGAAGGATGTAGAACATCGTCTAGAACAAACAATGGCTGATATTGACTTTATTGAAAAACAAAATAATAAAATGTCAGAAGAAAATAATATTATAAAGACTTGTATAGATGACACTTTGAAAGTACCAACAATTACTGAATATGCGCATGTTATCAAACAAAAGAAAGATTTAAAATATGATATTGATATATGGTCACAACGAGTAACTATTGCTGAGGTAAAATTTCGTTTTCAAATCGAAGAATTTTTATGTAAATTTTTTGTTTGTTTGATTAGACATTATGTTCACAATTAGAACAACAAAATAAAGCTCCAATGATTTTACCGCCATTGAAAAAACCGACAACGATCAAACATAAGCGATTAATTAAAACATCCCATCAATAAAAACATTTTTTACACAAAATTTCTTGAAATATTCAATTGATTAATTTATATCGAATGAATTTCTTGAAAATAGAGAAAATCTAAGGAGTGCTCCATACTGAAATACTCGTTACTGGATCCCGTAGGATAGGACCCGAGAGACTCAACTCATTTCTAAAAGTGTCTTTTTTATCGATACTATCGAACGAATATAAACATTATTTTATTTAAATAAATTGCTTTGTCGTTGAATAAATAAAATAAAAAGTATTTTTATACCAATGCCAGAAGAACATCATTTTCATCTATTTCGTGAATTTTAACTGATAGCGAAGCGTGATTCGTATTTGATTGTTGTCCTTCTTGACTAGTATTATTTCTACAGTTTTCTAATATTTCATATAAATGCCGTCGCAATAGTGGCACTAATTGATCAGCGCGTTTCAAATGCATAGCTAATGCATGCCGACCAGATGAATGAAACCAAACATGAACACCTGTTAAGCTATTCATAAAATGACTATCAATATCAAAATCTAGAACGGACGTTAAGCATTTTGTTTGTTTCGATTTTTTCTCTTCATCACTGCGAATAATCCGATGAGCTTGCCGCCGATCAGCTGCTGATAATTGACTCCAATGTATATGAAGTACGCAATCACGATTTAATGTTTTCGAATTGATTTTCTCCATAGTAATTTTTACTTGTTCACGTATAACATGTGCTTGTCTCGCTGAACAATATGCGCCCATGATACGCCATGGTAAACCAAGTAGAGTCGGGTCTAATATTGGATTGAATGCAATCGATATCGTCGCTAAATCAGCGCACATACAAACCATACTACCGCCAAGACTAGCTCCAATTAAAATTACACGTTGATAAAGTGTCGAATAGAGTTTTACTAGTTTTCGACAATATTTTAAACCATCCCATTGATAGTTTGGATCTTGTAAGTAGAAACATTGTGCTGGATCAGTTAAAAATAAAACATCGAATTGATTGTGCGCGTGATCGTGCAATTTGCTAATAGAGCTGCGCCATTCCGTTGTTCGCACACCTCCAACAATCATAGCAGCACCAGCAAAACTCATATAGAGCGTCGGTGAACGATGTGTACATGATAGATTCGGTTCAATATGTGAAGACGAATGTTTTGTATGACATTGACATTTTTTATCTGCGGGACAATACGTTTGCCGTCGCTGCTCAAGATGATCGAACCGTACACGTGTAAATGCAGAAAATTTCGATAGAAAATATCCGTGACCACGATTACGTTTTATGAAAATAAATAAAACAATAAAAATCAGTATGATCAAAGATGGTATTAGAATGCATAGTAACCATAGCCAAGAATCCATTTTTTTGTAACGACAAAAACTATTCTCCTATAGCGAAAAAAAACCCAAGGCTTATCTACATGCAATGATGCATAGTCATATGCACAGGTATACATATGGCGTGACGTAGATCATTTTTAATTATACTATTGACATGAGAGACGAACGAAGAGTGTCAGAGACGCAAGCAAGCGTGTTAATACATTATTATGAACTTTGACATTTGTCAAGGATTATTAATATATATGTTCGATTGTATCGAAATAAAATTCGAGGGTTAAACAGTGAGAAATAAAAACAATTGTCGCAATTTATAGACTAAAGAATGGATCAGATTGTGTAGGATATGATCTAAGAGTAGCTTCGGATGATTTTTTTTATAAATATCGTCTTGCTTTTTGTATGAATGTTTTTAATTAATGAAGACTTGGGAATTAGATAACTGACTAGACAGATGAGTAATTACCATCGCGTTCAGATATTTCGTAAATCATGTACATTGAAGAGTAGAAATAACTTCGTCGCTAGAGAAGCCTTTTACGATGAATTATATCGCTTTGTTTTCGTATTGAATTCCTGTAGTCACTGAAAAAAAATATTAAATAACCTTTTCAGGGTTTGCGGCGAATAAATCGTGAAGATTTCCTTTATCATTAATAGATTATCCGTATATGTTTCGATTAAATGTCGTAAGTCATGCAACAAAATGCTAATTCTAATGCTTAGGTTTGAATAAAATTCTTTTACTACTTGAAAATATCGACAAATTGTTCTTCGTTAACTTCCATATTTTCTATTGGACATGAAAATTATTTCAAAGCGCTTTCGATAACATTTCGCTATGTGTGACTTTCGTCTTTAACTAAAATTTGTTGAAAATATTATAATAACTTATCAATGGCTTTACAGAGAAGTTTATTTAAGCCAACAAGCAGTCCTCTCGTAAAAATAGAAATGATCGAGAAAATCATACTTCATCAAATAATAATAATATCCTAACTGAATACACGCCTTCGATTCTATAATAATAAGCGTTTTGACTTTTGATTTCAAGTTTCTTTATATAAAACACCATCACAAGTTCGTCTCTTGACTTTATTTTTACTTAAAACGAACCCAACACATCATGATTTTTGTTCTAAAAATATCTGTTCAAGTCGCACTCCGTTTTTATGAAAACATTATGGGACCTGTGGTACCCTTTTCGGATGTCCTCCTAAACAAATATCGTGCTGATTTTGAAACCCTATAATTTCAAATTCGTTCGCGTTGAAAAAAAAAGTTATGCTCTTACACGCCCTGCAAAATACACTTGAAACAGACATATAATGAAAAACTTAACAAACGCTAAATAAGAACATGCCGACTATCCATCGAATTTTTCTAATGCACGCGGAACTTTTCAATTGTAAAACAAACAAAGAATTCAAATCAATACCGAAGTACTTTAGCTCCTTTTCTTTACACAACGCAACACCAAAATCATTGAATTATTCCTGTAAACTCCTTCCATGAGAGAGCATTTATTTTTCTTTTCTTTTTTGTTTTTTTTCTTCTTTTTTCTTCGTAATAAAAGGAGCAAGTCGCACAATCATCAGTTACGAAGCACTTTAAACATTTTAAATGCTTATTAGTGATAATTCGTTTATGCTTGGTATCGCTGATCGCTGCCAAGACACGCCCATAAACATTTCCAAATGATTTTCACTTTATATTCGAATGCGTCACAATTTACTATTAATCGTTTATATGGTCGCTTTATTTTATTATGCACTTATCCGAATGTACTACCATGAAAAACAAAATCCTAACAACGAGCTTTTCTTTTTATTGTGAGTATAGAAACTGTTTAAAAATTGTCGATAGAATTTGAAATATTTGTCTAGGTATTGACTACTGTTATTAAATGCGATGTTAAAATGAAATGATCGTACCGACCGAGACTTACTCAATAATATATACTTAACAAATCAACAGCATTTTCTAGACAAAAATTAAACTTACAGAAGGCCGATCAATGAATATTGCTCATCGTGAAACCATTACTAAGTTTTTCAAGTAGGATTTTATCGAACACAATTTTTAAAAATTGCCTAAATATAGAAACGAAAGTTTGAAGCGAGTTTCAGGTCGCAAACTGTAGCAAGCGTAACCATAGAGACTTTGTAGTTTTCTCCCAAATTTTCTGTTGAGTTAAACACTGACAGATGTTGGTGATATTTGATTCTTGAAGAATAAGCACAACAGCAAATGCTTTGTGTTTCACATATTTTAATGATGTAGAATTTGTATTAGAAGATTTAATCAGTTATTCAGTGTAATAAAATCAGGTAGCTTAACCTAAGAAAGTTTCTTTTGAATCTGTTCAAGTGCATTTAGTAGTTTACTAGTACTATTATGAAGTATGCTTGGTATTTTTTTTTCAGTCGAAAGCAGACAATGCTCTAGCGTTTGTTGTTGTTTTTTTAGCTGTTCTCTCAATTGTTTTTACTGAAACTTATTCTCTTTAAGTTGATCGTCACTCATCAGTCGATGCAGGTAATCGAACTGGCATGGTGATAAGTGTATTTGCTTGTAGTTTTGGTTTGGAATTAATGCGATGGCACAAAAATTCAATAAAAAACAACAACAAAAGTAAACTGTAATGAGTAAGACAATTATTCAGATGACTATAAATGGATTGAATTTAAACAAGCAACTACTTCTAGAATCGTTGAGTACTATTTTGTCAAATATTCAATTAATAGAATCGATGTGCTAATTAATGAGTAATAAAAATATTATCATAATCGTATTTTTTACCATTCGAGAGAATGCATGATGACAATTTATATCTACACTCGATTTGTTCTACGAGACATATGGGAAGTATCATAGTTAGTGTTGATGTCGTTTTTAAAATTCCTTACAATCGTTATAGGAGTTTCGCTAAACATTTGGATTTGTTATTTCAAATGTTAAATTAATTTTAAAAAAAAAGTGCGTGTCACGTGATGAAAAGACGATGCAACTCTGGGATAATAGTTCATATATTTTACTTTACCATCAACTATAGTCTAATCGGAGCTATGGAAATGTTTTCGAATGTTTTACTACTTGAATACTAACTTTGCTATTTTTAGAGTTGAATTTCAATATGAAAACAGTAAAATGTGAAATCAATAAAAATCTATTGACCATTTAGGATTCAAAATGGCAAAAGTATATTTGAAAATCTTCTTTAAAATATCATCCAAATCAATAATAATATCAAGTATTTATTATATACTACAGCCTATTTCAGATAGAATGCAACACTATGTTGAAAAACCTCAAACGAACGGCTATACCAAGACGACAAAAATGAATCCGAAAAAAATCGATGATAAAACGGATGTGTCTTTGAAAAGTTCGGAAAGAAAACATCATCATCACCATCATCACGAACACAGTTCTCATCATCATCGACATAATTCGCATACTCACCGACACAACTCGCACCATCATCATCGACATACTTCCCATCATCATCATCATCATCATCGTCGTCCCCATCACCACCACTATCATCATCATCGAAGTCCTTCATATTCAGATGATTCCTATGATTCTTATGATTATCATCGAGGTCATTACTTAGATCATCATCATCAATCTTCAAGACTCCCACGAATTGTCACACCACAGCTGCCAAAGATTATAACGCCTACACCACGAAATACCAATACATCGATCTTTCGCGATGTTGGTATCAATACCGGAACTGAAACGAAAATAATGAAAGATTCAGGTGTCACAGTTGATCTCGTCGATGTACCAAGTAAATGCTTACATATATTGATTAGTTAACGTTTTGATTGAAATCTTAGATCTTGCTGATAGACGCCTTGAACAAATTCCTGTGATTCGTCGTACAATTATTGTTGAACCTTATCCAGCAGAGCCGAGTTCACAAATTATTGTTAAGCCACGTGCGGATATGATTGGAAAAGTTCGTTTAAGTAGAAATATGCACTTTGACGGCGATGATGCAACAACTGTCTATCCATCAACATCATTTATGACAAAGAAACCGAAGAAAAAAAAATCGACTATTGTTAACAACAATCGTATTGAAGATTTAAATTTGAATGGTATCCATGGTGACGATGACGATGCCGATAAAAGAAATAGAAATGGAAAAACAAGAAAAACTAAAATAGTAGCAGGAACAAAAATAAGAAACGCTTTCTATAATTAAATATTCATTATGTAAATTTTAGAAACTATTTATTTTCCTCCGTGTGCTGTACTACGTGAAATGCTTTACTTTTTGTAATAAGAATATTTTACAATATTTAGCTATGTGTTTATACATTAGAAAGTAGAACGCCGTGTACGCTGACCGATATAAAACAGAGATCAAAACAAGTAAAGAACTCTGAATTTTTTTAGGTTTTCTTTATTCTAAAAGCGATTGCTTTTAGTTTTCGTTTGTCTTCGTTGCACATTGACGTATGCAGAAATTTGGTGAACTACGTTTTTCCATAAACGTATGAAATTAAAGATTTTAAGTTAGTTGAGACGTTTCCCCATCGGACAATAGCAAAGATCTATCAAGTATGCCGAATGATTTTCCACTGTATAATGTGATGATTCAAGTGGCAGAGTGTGTAGCAACAATAGATTATATCAAAAATATTTGAACTCATTATATTGTCCTTAAAACAGCGCTTTTCTAGTTATGATTATACGCAAATAAAATATATCCGGGATAATATACGATATAGCATCGGAAAATGTCTGCTGTGAAATATAGTGACTATGAGAAATATGACTGAAAAAAAATTTCAATTTATTTTCATGAAAATGAGTCTTATCGAATAATTATTACTGTTCGGTCACAAGAGAGGATTTAAGTATATGAACAAATTTCGAAAGTTTTCTCTATGCGGAAACTAGAGAAAATATTTTCATGTGAACATAACCGATTTAAATTGCAATCACTATCTGCCAAAAAAAGCAAACATCTCATGGCAACTTATAGGTAGTCGATTCGTTGCATTGCTAGTTTTTGAATTAACGGAGAAGAACATTTGCAAGAAAAATTCATTTAAATAGAATTTTGTAGACATATCCCATGTGATTCAAACCGGAACGAAACCGGCGGTTTTTCATGAAAGTGGTGCCTCCTTTTGTATGGTATAGCAACAGTTGAATATTTTTTAAGTCTATTAAAACCGACAGAATCATGTTGAGTTCGGTGCACTCCGATAATGTCGATGTGTCTGAGCCACTTGTAGTAGCCACAGATCTAAAATAGCTTTGTTTTCGATTAATTCGAATTCGTTTTCCTAAATAAATAGGGAGTTGCCAAAAAATGTGCAATATGGGATAAGTGATTTTATTCATTAACATTTTCGTAATTGATGGCTAAAATAGTTATCTTTCTTGTATCAAGTTGTATAGATAATTTTATGCGCTGCCGAAAAGTTAGGATTTTCTATAAGTAATAGTTTGTTTTTTTGGTGGTCGTAAATAAACACCATCTCCTCTATCACCAACTTGATCATTTTCTAGTTCTCTTGTTGTCAAACGAGCTGCTGGCCGATACGAAACAGTCTTTTCAGAAACATCATAACTATTTGGTAATTCATAATATTCCTCATATTCTTCATTGAGATATTCAGCAGGTACGGCTTTTCGTTGTTTAATAATAGATTGCCCCGGCATTATAAGCTCTGTTCGAAGAGGTTTACGAGCTGATACATTACTTCTTTTATTTCGTGATGCTGGTAACTGAAATGATTCTGTTATAAATTCATCTGCCGACGATGCAGGATTAAATGGGCTTTTAACTGGTGTCGTAGGTTTTTTTGGTGAGGGTGGCTTTACAATTTCAATTACAGGTACACTTGGTCGAATAGGCTGAACGTATTGAACTGGGTGGATAGGTTGAACGTATTGAACGGGTTGGATAGGTTGAAAAGATTGAACAGGTTGGATAGGCTGAAAAGATTGAAGAGGCTGAGCCGGTTGCATGTATGGAAATGGTGGGTGAACAGGATGCTGTGGAATAGGAGGATTCAAATAAACAGGAACAGGATAGGGAACAGGTTGTATTGCTGGTTGTTGAGGCTCAGCTTGATGTCGTGCTATAGTAACCTTTATATTTGAAGGTGGAAGTGAAGGTGGATTGGCTGCTGTTTCCAAATTAATTGGAAAATTTTGTAATGCTGGGTCATTGGACCCAGGAGTATGTCGACGAATTTTCAATTTCGGTAATGCTTCTCCATTGGGTCCATGTGTCGGAGCACCTTTTGAAGGTGCATCAACTCCAGGATCCGAAGTAGCTGCACTTCGAGCGCTGTGACTCGTCGTTGCGTCTCCGTTACTTGAATAGCTGTCGTCATCATCGAACTCGGAATCATACGATGGAGTATAGTTGTCAAATTGTCGTCCATCATAGCCATAAGGAACATAAGTACCATAGACGTGTGGAACAGGAGGATCGTAGTCTAAAAAGGAAGTAAATTCGAACGAAATTATTAGAAAAAAACTTCTTAACTCACATATATATGGAGCAGCCATGTTTGATTCAATGCAAACTATTTTTCTACAAGACTTTCGTTTTTCTGTTTATTTTGAAGAATGAAATGAAATTGGTAGTTGACATTTTTTTATGCGTGGTAGCGTTTTTTTCTTCTCGTTTTGTCAGTAAACAGCAGGCGAGAATAAAAGAATGTTCGACTCTTGCTTGATCGATGCCATTTAAGTGTCTTTTCAATGCATGGTAAACATTATGTAAAGTAGCTAGAAATAAAAGAAATCCTGAATTGTGAGTTCTCTCACATAGACAATTCCACTGGCATCTATTTGATAAATTTTGTTTTCTATTCCATCAACAAACATCACTTCAGTATTATAGATTGACTAGTGTCTGTGTTTTTATTTGCTTAGAAATATAACTTTACTGAACAATTCGTAATGGCAACATTATGCGGATACTTTTCACACAAACGCAATATGAAGAGTCTATACTCCAAGTGTCAACAATATTGAAAAATGACTCACTTTTGTTCAATTTTATTTTCGTAACTTTTCATCTTGCGAACTGGAACAAAAACGATCAATCCACGCCAGAGTAATAGAATTATGTAGATCATAGACAGGGTAGAGAAAAAAAGGAAGAATTTGCTAGTTGACACCAAACTTCAGTTGAATTCATATAGCTGAGGAGTTGCTGAGAAAAAATAGAGTGAACACGTATTACTGCGAAACTGCCTTTGAAGAAATGTGAAACCATTGAGAAACGAGCCAATGTTCTCATACTTTTCTATCCAAACGATAAGATAAAAACACATTTATAAACATCATGGACATATATAATGATATTTAGTTTTATTCATGTTTCAATTTTTGCCAATAACCTGAGTCAAATGGTTTACATGCTGCTTTTTGATAACAGAATGATTTACTTTTGCTAAAGAATCGATGAGAATTAGGTTGAGTTTCATGAGAAAATATTGTTTTTAATATCATAGGCATAGCACAGAATGGTATCTGTCGGGTAGTTTCGAAATTAAAATCGGAATGTCATCTCGTGAAATAATTATAATTAATCTTTGCTGAAAAATCTAGGAATGATTTAAATTTTTTCGTTTGGCTATGCTCATGCAGTAAACATCCAAAAGGAATCGAATGAATGAAACTTAAATTCAACTCGACTTGAAAAAGATGATCGAATCTAATTGAATAATAGGATAACATGAAAATATGGTGATTTTGATTTTTATCTTGGTCGTAATACAAAAACCAAAAGGAACAATCGACATTAGAAGACGACGAAGGATATTCAATTAGCCTGATTATTAAAAATAAAATAAATTCCTTGGTAAAATATTAAAAAAAATATAAAATCATAATTATAATCGTCTAGTTGCTTTCTGCTTTATCATACGCACGATCCTATTTTGACAATAATCGAGCAATAGCTGAATGCTATGACACAAGAAAGCGTAGAAATTCAGAACAGAACGATAAATGTTTCAAGTTCCAAATGAAAATAACACTGATTAAATTCACATTTTAATCTTTCTTGAAACTGAACCATTGACTCATTGAAGCAAAATAGAGACAATAGAAAAAATATACATTCGACGTCCAAAGGCGCAAGACGTAATCATAATTCTATTGATAAATTGATATATTTTTCTTCAAGTTCATCGAATCAGTTCCTATAACTGGTTTAAATAATGAATAGATACAGCTTGAGAAAATCCATTATGCATAAATGACGCTGAACGTCCCTTGGTAGTGTACATTTTGTTTTTATTATACATTTCAAGCGACACACATCGCACAATAGGAATCTCACAATTTAGAACAAACAAAATATTTAGAATATGCTTAATTACAATCATAGCAACCGTCTACTCAGATGCTGAGTTAGTAGCATTATTTCATAGATGCTGGATGGCACCATTGAGCTGAGCATTGTAACGAAAGAACAAGTCGTTCAATTGCCTATAATTAAAGACGAATTGATGTTTTGGTTAATAAAGTTTAATTCCGCTTACCTGTTTTGATCTTCAAATATTTCTAGTAGGTCTTCTTCGAAGAATATTCTCGATTGATAAAGCTGTTGACTTTCACTTTCGACTTGACTCGGTTGAGGTTTTCTTGACCTCAAAGCTGTTACCGGCCAATAAAGTTGATCGATGTTAATGAAACCTTTTTGAAGTATGACTTTGGTGTCTTTTGGTGATTCAAAATCAATTTGAACGTTTTCTGTTGGAATACTTGGCTCATTTCTACTGTACCATCGCTTAACATTTTTAACACCCTGGTAAACTTGCGTCATTTTCTTCTTAAGATCATTCTCAGTTATGTCCGTAGGAAAATCGTGAACAAGAATTTTATGAGTAACTTGGTCTTCTTCAATCAATATTTTTGATTGATTACCGAATCCCTTGTTTCTCTTGTTCTCCTTTTGTACGGGTATACTCGGTGGTAAAGCTTTTACGCGACACCGTAAGTTACCAATACTGATCCAACCATTTTCAATGAATTCTTCAGCTTGCTTTGTTGATTGAAAATGAATTTGAACAAGTTGGTTGGGAGCATTAGGGTCTTCCTTTGTACCGATGCGTCGGTGTACATGTATAATACCTTTATAAGCTGTTAAAAGTTGTTTTCTAAGCTCATTTTCAGATATTGTAGTAAGGACATCCAACAAAAGAGCTCTATCGGTGGGTTCGTTTTGATTATTCGCCATGATCGTAATATTGTGTTCAAGTTGTGGTTATTTATATTAACATCACTGCCAGTTATTAAGTGCTGGTGGTGTAATGACATAGTCATGCCAAAGTTATTTCCTTTTATGTCTAATACAGAATAATTGCATCAGATCTAACGTAAATTGGTAAAATAAAATTTCCTAGTGTTATGAAAGAAATATTTTTTTCATATCCTTTGTGTTGCTCATGAGATAATTATAATGGAAAATGCCTATATACCATTTAAAAGAACATAAAACAGATTTTTTCAGGTAACATTGCTCGATGCATTTTCTGCCAGCTGTCGTAATCTCTATGATGACGCATTGACGTCATTTTTTTTGAAATGAAAGAAAAACGACATTAGATGATGAAATATTTCGTGTACTTTGCGGTAACTTTGAAGAACGACAAAAAATGGTCTCAACCGTGCAGCTATGTTTACGCTAGGCTTTTTTGTCTATCGAAGAACTACATGACAATTTCGACTAGGACTGACACTTTAACACTTTAAACTTTAATTAAAGTAGAACACTAAAATTTAATACTTTAATATCAAAATGAATGTACTTTAACTTTAACTTTAAAGTTTAAAGTTGCAGTTGAACCAACAGGGAATTGATCACGAAGTGCTAAAAATTAGTTGTCACTTTAGCTCTGGTTTATTTTAAAGTTAAAGTGCCATGCCTAATTTCGACTCATATAACATTTAAGCAAGAAAATTTCCGCCTTCAATAAAAACGTATACTACATCGAATACATTGAGAAAAATAGTTAAATATTGATAATAATCAAATCAATGCATTGTAAATGAATTTAAAAAAGTAATTTCAGATGATGCAGACAGAGCAGTTACAAAAGTAAAGCATGAATGTCAAGGGGGAAACAGCAGATTCCAACTCCTCGGAGTCAGATGGAGTCAAACGGAGTCAAGTGGAGTCATCCGGAATCACATGGAGCCAGCTGGTTGCATAGAATCACATAGGATCCCAGGGAGTCTTACCTAAACATGAGGAGCCACACGGAGTCTCGTGAAGTCACAGTAAGTATCGCAAAATCCCTGCTGATCTCGAGAAAACCATTATAGAAATGGGAAACTGATACGTTTTTACTTTTTTCTGTCATATGCATCATTATATAAAATAGTTATTAGTGTCCTTCATTGTCGGAAATTGTCCAAAAAGACTTCTCATAGCAAAACAATATTACTCAGTACCCGGAAGTAGCATTCCCAAAGCTGAACTTTTTGTTCTGTAATGGGAATTCAACTTCCGGGTACTGAGTCATACTGTCAACAGGGAAATGATAGACTCCATCTTCTTGGAGTCATAGAGTCATGGAGTCTGCTGTTTCCCCCTTGATGCGCTTACAGTTGGCATTTATTTTTCAGTTGGGGTTTTTTTCTGTTTGATCAGTTGGCTTGATAGTTATTCACCAGACTAACTTAAATAGAACTTGCTTAATTCATGTTGCAATCGTAGTTCTATTCTCTATTTACTGGTTAATATAAAAGAATTCCTTTTTTACTTTTTGACATCATCTACTAAGATCTCTATGCATATTTAAACCTAACGGATAAATTTCAATTTCGTAGAAATAATATTTACCTTCTTTTGAAGCATTCGACGAGATTCATTCACCATATTTTAACTTTGATTTTTGTTCAAACTGATATTTATTCAATCGATTATGTGCATATGCTGTTGATACTTTTCTCATTGTTGCTGGCAAAGTATGCACTCGTATTGACTTAATATATACGATGAATTGAAAGTAATTGTAGAAAAGAAAGATTATAACTTGTTGGTATGAATTTCATGGCTAATGCCCAGGGCAAACAATCAGATGTTAAGATCTAATAAGATTCTGAGATGATCGTGTAAGATCCGACAAGAAATCGTAGCCTCTGAAATATTATGATGCTTTGCATTGTCAGATTTTAGAGGCTACACTTTCCGTCTGATCTTATTACAAGATCATGTAAGTTCAGAGACAGCAACTAGTCAGATCTTAATATGTGATTGTTTGCCCTGGGATTAATTGACGCTGTGAAATTTCGCTTCACATACAAGACCTGAAAATAAGCGATCAGTTCAATTTATTGAAAGTTAAGTATATTCTATAACACAAGATATGTCTCGGTCAACTTGATTCCATCCTATATTTGCAGTAGAAGCAGGATCAAAATTATATATATATATATCCTTAAGTTCGTCTTACTCTATCGAACAATTTAAAATCCTCAACGAATCAATAATGCTGTCGATCGGATAAGTACTATGGCACTTAATTTTAATCTTTCTCTCGGAATAAAACTGCGCATAGCAGTCAATTATTCCTATATAAATAACATCAATCAACTTGACATGCCGGAAGAACAGCGCCCAACCTAGAGCTATTATGCCGGACAATTTAAAAAAAAAATTTTCTTTCGATTGTCTTTTTTTTTATTAACAAAATATGTAAATCAATTGAGATTTACTACAATGTCCCTATGTTATTCATTAGTAAAGCATCTCGAATTTTATTCATCAATGATGGATCATTACATTCAATATCTGTTTGTTTCGATCGAACAATAATTTTTGCTGCACCTTGATTGTATTTTATTTCAACCGATCTGTTTGATTGTTCATTGTCATTTACATCATTATCGTATTCATTTAATTGTTTGACTTCTAAGCCAAAAATGCCACTTTTCGATAGATTTATTAAAAATTTGTCAACATCGATTTTTCCGTATGTAATTAAATTATTTTGTTTTGAATTTTCATTATCAAGTTCATTGATATCATAGACATAATCGCACATATCTAAATGTCCATGAATACTTGCAATAGCTAAATTTGATGTTGGTATTAATTTTGGTTTAATATCACTTTTTATATTCAATTGTCCATTAATAAAATATCGATTTATCGATGGCAATTTGATATTATCGTATTTTCTATAGGATAATATATTAATTTTATCATTTTTTACAATATCATTTAAATATTGTTCATGTACAATTAAATTTTTCGGTCGTATTTTTTCATTTAAGAGAATATTTACTTGTGAAAAATTCAGACGCGTATCAATAGGCAAATAGAAACATTTCATATTTATTGGTTGATAGGGTTTTAATGCATCAACATAAGAATATTGATTATCAATAAAAATAATACCATTCGATGATGATGTTTTCATTTTTTCAATTAATTGTACTACGGGACCGAAACGTAATGATAAATGACCAGTAAATATAATCGACGGCTGTTCGAAGTTAATTAAAGTTTCTGTATCATCTAAACGATCCGATGAAATTGTTATTAAACATTTACTTTTGATTAATTCATTATGTTTGAATGGTGGTGTACCACTGAATGATGCTGTTTGTCGTTGTTCCGTAACCCACTCGGACATCGCGTTCGATATGGCAAGATTTGCATTGCTTATAGGCGAAATAAAATACATATGAATATTTAATAGATTAATTTGTTCGAAATATTTTGTTAAGAATTCAAACATATCATAAATAAGACCTGTCGATGAGCATGGAATCAGAACGCTGCCATGATCATTAAGAATGTTTTCGATTTTTGCTGTTAATTCAGTTGCATTTATGCTTGCGTCCATAGATGATAAATGGCAAAGGTTAGATAGAAGTAAATAATCACAATTGAGAAAAGAATCGTAGCTAAATTTTGTTGAGTAAGTTTCTAAGGTTGTACTGGATGACATGTAAATAAAGCGTGTGAGATTGGATTGAGATGACGAAGTTTCGATTTTCGATGTTTGATTATGATTTACATTTATATCGAGTTGCCAATTACAGCTACCTAAAATGGTGCGAAAAATATGTATTAATATGTGAATTCAAGATAATTTTTAATTAATAGGATATCTTTCCGTCCTGTTGCTGTGGCGAGATGTGAGCAAGGATTGACTTGTCCTTTTGATTTTCTAGTATCACACGAAAATAGAAACTTTCGTTTTATTTTATCGAACTGATTTGATACAATCTGTGTACGTTCTTTATGCGACTGTGCGCGCGTATAGGTTAAGCAATACGAATGATTGTAATGTTAGACTGAAGGTCAAGTGATGGCTTCCGTCAGCTCTAAAAATTATTTCAGAAGGTTCCGATACAGAATTCATTACACCAGACTAGTCCAATAGGGACTCATAATTCCTTTGAATCTAACAGTAACATTAGAAAAAATATCGACACGAAATTTCTCGCACAGATAGTCGTCGACGAAAATGAAAATTGTTCCTTTTTCTCCGAAGGGCACTCTTCTACTCCTTCTGCGTTTCAGAGTAAAAATAATCCCACATGCCTCCACGTTCCACGCCGGATTACCTAAACAATATCCTGAACTAATTGCACTTGCTCGTATTGAACTATACAAATCAATTTGCTCATTGAAATGAACAATTGTAACGTGACTTAAACATTTATCAACATTTTCTATTGAATAACACGACATTAATTTTTGTGCATGAGAAAATAATTTTAGTTTTTTTTCGTTTTGCTGTTCTTCAATGGAATCAAATATATCTGGATCATATTTCCATTCGTCATTTGTTTGAATCATTTTTGACTGTTGTTCCACATAGCTAACCATTTCATACATGAGCTGTTGACCAAAACGATAGGTTGGCTCAGTTAAATAGATTTGTGCATTTAAATTTTCATATTTTTTAAATAAATATGGTAGAGCAAGAAGTGTTTCATAATTCGATATAAGTATAATATCAATCAATGAAAAATCATATTGACTAGAATCTAATGTATAAAATTCAATTGGAGAATAAACAAATAATTGATTGTGTAAAATACGCAATTCATCGATTTGTCGTGGAAGATTATTTTCTTTATTATGCGATAATAATTTGTATTTTGGTAATGATGAAAATCGATTTACGCAACCAGGCGATGGAATAGGTAAATAATCAAGTAGATGATCGATTGGTAAAGGAAAGTCCAATAGTATTGAACGACCGTAAACAGTTAAAATAAAACATGGTAAATTAGGATCATCTGATAGACAATAAAGACGCATGATGACTGTAGATCTAAATAATAGGCTATTTATTTATTATGAATTCATAAAAGAGGAACAAAACAAAAAAGAAATTTATTTTAGTCGAATGTTAATTTAATACGAACGGAAAAAAAAAGAAAAACGTGCGAGATCTCATATTATATAGTTGTCATATATTGAAACAAATGTTCTAGGTTAGTTATGCTTTGGCCACTCTTGTTGATGTTGACGAAGAGATGATTGTAGTTTTACTGATATTCATAACATTATCTTGTATTTGTCGTTTTAGAACTTTAAACGATCAAAATTATTATTAAGAAAAAAAGATTAAAATCAACAAATAATTACGTGCAGGTTTTACTACTTCAGGAATAAGAGTTGACACTGGTTTCAAAGCTTCGGCGACATCAACATCAACATCATTTCGTTCATTATTTAAAGCATGAGCAACAGCTATATAATATTAGAAGTTTATGGATAAAGAAATCAACAGTCTAAACATACTTTCGGCCATTGCATGATAAGCAAAATGAAGATACAGTAAAAAGAACATATGAATTGATACGATAAGTAGGCCAAGAAGAGCACGATAACGTGGATTCACTGTTCGAGACATTATAATTACTGCCTAAAAATAAATAAGAATTGATGAGGAAAATTTTTTACAAAAATATTCACTCGTTTTTAAAATAGTCTGAAGGATATTGGCTTCTTTCATTGGTACTAAAGAAAACGAACAAAACGTTTCAGTACTTCCTATGAAGTTCTCTTTTGTATTATCCCTACTCTCTACAAGCCGAGGACTTGCCATGTATTTCGCAAAGAGTCTCTGGTACAATGTTGTGAATCAAGTTTCGTCAATTATAATTAGCACATTTGCTAAAACATGAATTTTTCTATATAAAAGTAGTGTGTAAATGAAACTGCAATTGTATGATATTTTAGGTTGAAACGTTGAAAGATAATCTAATTCACCTGAGTGTACTGCTGGAAAAATAATCTGAGCAAAAAGAACTGATCAGTACGGAATGTGCTTCCTTCACCGAAAAACCATACAGATTTGTCAAAAAAACTACTGATTACAAGCTCGACAGGAATCCATCCGCTATGAGGAATTAATGAATTTTATATATCTTTCATTTTCCTGATTCGTTCGTAGTCTTTGTTTTTTTTATATAATATTAAAACTTATACCATTCGAATTGCTGCTGCGCCACCGACAAATCCCCAAAGACCGTAGAATAGCAGATGATCATAGCCCGTGTGAATAAACGTAGCAAGAAATAGAACAACACAATGACTGAAGAGAGCATAACCCTACAAACATATACATATTCAATATAAAATTCAATGTTTCAGTTTTCTAAACTAACATTAATACTAAGAATTTGCATAAGACTAAGTTGTGTGTTACATATAAATGAAAGCGATGATACAGCAAAACTCGAACCAATCCAATAGCCGAAACAAACAAGAAAACTTGCTCCAATTAATGTGCCATCTTGCTACAAAACAAGAAAACTAAATCAAACATTTCTATTTTAACTTGTATACATACAACGGAATGACTTGAAACTTTCATTTGATAAATCAGAATAGCTGCTAATGTGAATGCGATCATCGATGGTCCATATAATTCTGGTTTTATATGCTAAATGTTAACAATCAAGCACTGATTTATAAAAACAAAATGTCATACATCATCTCGAGACACTCGTGCTGGAATCAATGAACGTATCAATCTGAATTAAATACAAACGAATAAATAGTAATGAAAATTTGTCTTTTCTTTTAGCATACCGTTGAAAAACTTCTCTTGGTTCAACATCAAAATATGGACGGAGATAATCGAGATTGGCATAAAGATTTATTGCTTGTTGCGCACGAGAACGTCCTGCAGCCCAAACCTTTAAATAAAATAATTTCTTTTCATCATCGTAGAACAATTGAAAAAATACTTACAATAGATCCTACACTGGGTATTCCACTTTCTAGTGATGCCGATTGTTGTTGATTATTATTATTATACATTTTTCTATCGTTGAAATTTTTCATATCACAATTGATGTTAATAAATATTAGTTTATTAGCAAGTTGAATGATTGGTAGAGTAGAAGGACTTATTATAAAGTGACATCTTAATAGAACAGGAAAATTCGATTGAAGAAATATTTTCACCAATGAAATGAGGCTACCGATTTGACAGGTTGTTTCGGAGAGAAATGTCCAGTGAGATTAATTCGAAAACAATTATATTATTCAATACACTAAATATGTATCGCATTCAAATCTTCAATTGCTAACTAAAAGATACAACTAGTGACGATTTTTCTTCTGAGTGGACGCAAGCAATCAGCTGATGATAGAGTGATCGAGTTGCAGTAAAATATAGTTGGATGCTCAGTAATTCTACAGTAAACATCCAAGAAACACTCATCGAGGTAATGAAACTATTCAAAGCATTGATAGATTATGCAAATTTTAATGAAGAAGATACTATTGGTAAATATTTTTGCATCTATTGACTAAATAACATCATTTTTTTGCATTGTAGAATGAATATCATTACAGGAAGGTAATTAATTTCGTTTTTGATTGCTGATAGAGACGATCTAGAATAGCGACGAACTAATCATCTTTACCAAACTGTAAAAGCCGTAGATGAATACCTGTAATTCAAATAGCCACGTCTCTACCGATGATCTTCGTTGATGTGTGCCTAAATAGAACACATTTTGTCGCAGCTGACTTTGGACCTAGAATCGTCTAAACAGTGTTAGGGAGTTGTTATTAGCTTATATTCCGACTGTTTGTGTAGCAACTCTTTTCTCACATTCACTATAATGATTTAGTAGAAAATTCCATATTGAAACTTTCGAGAGAGACTCCGTTTATTAGAACAAAGTTTTTTTTTTTGAGAAGTTGAAATGTCGGTTGAATGTTTTCTTCTATTGTTATAGAATTTTTTGATAAAACTGCAAAAGATTAGATACTCGAATTCAGTGGTCTCGAGTAGCATTACGGAAATATGAAGAATCTTTGCAGTTAAACTAAACTTCTTATTTTACTGTGTTCACGCAGAAATGTGAAACGTGAGATTAATATTAAAATAGTAGACAACAACGTACTCATTCGACGTTTAAAATATTTTTATTTTCGCTATACTAGGTCTAACCGGTGTAGTTAATTGATAGAAGCAATCGTCCAGAAATTCCTGGGAAAATAAAACTGCGCACTCACTGCTCCACTAGAAATTATTCAATTTAAGAGATAATAAAAAAACAGTAAGTTAATTTCATTTCTTCTGCTCGTTTGATTTCATTAAAACGTGAATTTAAAGCTAGAGCATCATTCAGCATCGTGTGATAGTTCTGTTTGATTAACTTTCCCCAACAAACTCAGTAACTAATAATGCACTTTTCATTACTTTATTGTTCAAGGTATGTACTACATGTCAGAATTTTGCATTCGCTATGAAATATTTTTTAAGTTTTTCAGCGTGAGAGGAAAACTTTTTATCGGATCGTTCCCTCGATCATATTTTTAGTTTATGCATAAAAATGCTACCAGCCAAACGGGTAGACATGCGATGAGCTTCTCCGAGGGTGTCTTTCGAGCCATCAATCTGCTGATTAGTGTATGCGTATCATTTGATCTTTAAGATCTGGCTTATCAACAGTCATTTTCATCATAGTAAAAAAAATGATAGTTTAGGTTTACGGAGACATTTTTCTAAATGCTTTCATCATTAAATAAAAAAAAGATCAAATGGAAAATTCAGTAGTATGGCACGAATTTGAATAAATTTTTACTTGTAGGCTCAGACATAATAATCTAGTATTAGTAAAATATTTATGAATGATATTCATTGAAATCGTTGATAGAAAAACAAATTGTCATCGAGCTTAATTAAGTATATCGGCATGCGTTTTTTTTCTCTAAAACTTAGATAAGCATAAAATCCCTTGAAATAATCAGACTACTTATGAACTCTCTATTGATTAACGAAGTACATGTTGTTGTGTCCCTATAAATACTTTCTCTTCAAAAAAGCACAGGAAATATGAGATTAACCTAATGCTTGTTGCGCATGTTCGAGGTAACTGAAAAGTTTATAATCACTCGAAGAATAATTTTGCATTCGTAAATACTCGGTTTCAACAGCCTGTGAACCGAATATACTGTGGTTCATCTACTTAATTTAGTCTGTTTACAGAAATTTTCATAAAAGACTCAATAGGATTTCTTTGCAATGTAGCATTGCAGTGAGTAAATTTTGTGAGCTTTTCAGAGTCAATAGTTAATAAATCATAGGCTTCATTCGAGTGTAAAAAAGAACGGTTAAACTGTAAAGAAAATAGAAGTAACTCATGCTTCAACAGATTGATATGACTTTGCGATTACTGTTGTCTCAGACGATGATAATTATAGTAGAAAGCATAAACTTTTTTTTTTTCTTCTATCGATTAAGTGCTTGTATTCTGTCGAAAGAACCGGTTTCAAGCGCAACAGTCGAAGTTGTGTACTCTAAAATAATCTTAAGTCTTTCTTTCTTATTTTATCATTTGAAAAATCGTAATCAAATGAAATTTTGTTTTACAAGTCTTTGTTAAATTAACGGGGGCGAAATGAACCAAAATATTGATAAGAACAATACCCCGTGATGACAAATCTGAAACCGATATATCGTAAATCATGATGCTTTTCGTTCGGCACATTTCAACATATTACCGATTTTGCTAGATAAATATTTATTATGATAAAAACGAACATTCGACTTGCTCATTTAAACTACTCAACGCACTAGACGCGATGTAAATATTCTGATGGAGATTTGCTTCAGTCGAACCATCTGCGCATATTCACAAGAGGTGATGCATTATGTTTTTGGCAGATAGTTTAATCAGCAGGTTGTTTGAAAAATAATATTTTATTATTAATATTTTGCATGAAAAACGATAATTAAAACCGTGCACAAGGCTATTATTTATTTTGACTAAAATTCACTAATGATTGAATCCAGAAAAACTTTTTCGAGTGCTGACTTTTGAAATAAAATGTTGTCTGTAGGAGAAATTGAAGCGTGGCTAATTATTAATGTTCGTATTTTAATTTAGAAAGCTTTTCAAGACATAATTTTCAACAATTATACAGCATCAATTGCGAAAGCCATAATGTGTCAAGTGCACCAGAGATTATTAAACAGGAAATCCGCCAAGTTCACTTAACATGACACATAACTGAATTCTATTTTCTTCATCAAAAATGCTGCTTTTGATAAAAATCTACTTTTTTAATGCTTCCTTACGGATTGCATAAAGTAACGATCAATATTTATGATGAGAGAAAAAGAAAGTAGAGTGCAAAATAGCGATAAAATATTCATTCTGTGAACGATTCAAGGCAATTGTTTCATCTGTTATTTACAGGTCTTAGTTTTTAATTAAATTTTTCGAAGATCTTTTTACTTTGATTAAATATAATCTTGACTTAAGAATTCATTTCTGACAACAAATACTCGTCCCTATTTATAATGACAGGTTTAAAAGCACCACGAACACTTGCAATTCGCAACTAGTTCTCTTTTTTTTGTTGTTAAACATCAAACGTGAGACTTCAAAGTCAAACACTAATAGCTATATTCTCCATATATACGATTTTCTACGGCTCATTATTTGAGATTCGAACAATAATTAAAAAATATATGACTCAAAAAGTACGGTGAGATCGACGTCTGATGTTTTGAATAATAGTTTTGTTACATTTCTTTTTCGTTCTCCACAACATCGGAGTTCGTAGTATTAGTCAACTTTTCTCCCTTGTAGTTGTTATTAGTCTGACATCGATCAACAGTCAACACAACAAAAGGTTATTTAGTAGGAAAAGATATTATTGATGGTAGTGGCTTTATATTTAGATGTCTGATCGATGAAAGTAATGTAATTTGTTTCTTGAACGCTAAAAACCAATCTTTTCAGTCGACAGAGGCATGAATTCATATCATCTTTGCTTTCACTTGTGCAATAGATATGCTGTACTCCTACGTAATCAGTTATCAATATTCTTTTTTTTATATTCTAGAGCCGTTTCTTTTAACTATTCCTTTTATATGTAAAATAAAACAAAACAAAACAAATAAACATGGTCAATTTGAGAATGAATCGCATGCACGCATATAAACGAAGGAATATAATAAAGATAGACTAGAAGAAAAGAAAAAAAATGTGTCAAGTAAGAAAGGAAAAAAAGAAAGACGCATAGAGGGCAAACACAACATGAGAAAAAAAATGTGTACTTGTATGTTCGGCATTAGGTCGTTAGAATTGTTAGTGTAAGATATATATCGTTGTAAAGGAAAACACAAATAAGGAACGACAGTAAGCTAGCGATGATTTCTAGGCTGCACTTTCGGTCATAGCACAAACAGATGTTTGGGTCTATGAAGCTCTTCTTTGTTTTTATTTGTCCTCAATGATTCAACGAGAGGTCCTCTGGTTTCCCTGAAAACGTCAATATTAACTTTGTCTCCTAAAAGGGATTAACTTCTGTAGTGAGACATGATAAATAAAATATAAATTAATTAGATGAAAAATTTTGTTTTGCGATTTGATCTTTTTTTGCAAGACGTAGAAGAAGAAAAAAAATTAAGATAAAGAGATATTTATTAAAGACTGAGGACATATCCAAAAGGAATGAGTGGCCTAAATATACAATCAAGTATATTGCGCATGTGCTCTACGAAGCAAGAGAACAATTTTTTTCTTGTTCTCCTCTTCACTAGTCTTCTTTCGTTAGACATTTATAGTCAGGAATAGATACAAGTAGGTACGTAGATAGAATTAATGAACTTCTTATATAATAAAAACAACAGCAACGACAAAAAATAATTAATTCGATTTTTTTAAATAGTCAATGATTATAAAAAATAATTCATTGTTTCTATTTTCTAGTATTAATTAACCTACTATGAACGGTAGTTGTTCCACCATGGAAACTTCATCATTATCAATGATAAGAGAAAATGAAAAATTCTTGTCGACAATAATTGCATCTCCTCTGTTCAATGACAAGGTGATGACCCCGGACGAAGAACAAGAAAAAAACGGCAAAGAACAAGAAGAAAACATGCTTTCATCAACTCATAAGCATAGTTCTGCTCGATCGAACCTCGATTACGAGAAAATGCAATCTCTTCAAGTAACAATTTCTACAATAGTTGAGAATCTTGTAACACAAATTGATTCCAATACAAATATTCCATCGAACTCATCGGAAGAACGCGAATCAATTCATGTAGAAAAACAAGACGATTTTAAAATGACAAAACGTGCATTACGTTCACGTGTACAAGGAAAATTAAATCTATCGGTACCTTATCAACTATCGAATGATAACCGACGTGTGTCAAATCGACGGCGAGCTTTAGAAAAAAATTCATCTTTCGATACTTATGAAAAACTTCCACGAAAAAAAACTACATCCGAACGTTCGAATGATCCAACAACAGAACTTAATCATGGTAGGATTTTCTTAAGTATTAGAAAAAAAAGAAACCTTTTCCCCTAATTGATTCAATAGATCGTACTCTAATCAGCGATGATATACATATAAATGTTGATGAAGGAACTCATGCAAATAAAGTAACGATAAATATGAAGCAAATTCAAATTCATAGTCATTCAGATATTGATTCTTTACCACCAAATAAACGTCGATTACGTGAACGACATGCTGCTATTTTAAATTCTGTTGATACATCTACAACGAATAGTTCTTCTTCAACCGAAGAGAATATGCCTATAGAACCACCGACACGAGCAATACCAATAAATTGTATAAAAAAATTCATTGAAATTCGTCAACAAGTATGAAAAACTTTTTTTTTTTATAACATAACTTTCAGGTCAATTTTATTTCTACGACGAAATTCTAACTTATGACAACAAGCTTTTTTCACGTTTCACTTCTATTTTTCTTTCCGTTCAGAATAAACACAATTATAAATAAGAAAACATATGCGAGTGCAGTACTCTGCAACATTTTAAAAACAATTCACATTAGCCGAATCAATAGATTAGCAACGATCCTCTCACGCGCCTTTTAAATGGTATATAGTGTCTAGAAAGCCACTAGACATAGAGAAATTTGAATATCTTCGTGAATTTTTAACCAAATCAGCTGATTTTTTTCTCAGATATGGAAGGTTCTATTCATAAACAAATAGTTCACATATGAACAGCAAGCTATATGCAAATGATTTTTGCTCATAGTTATAGCCCAATACTGTAGAATAATCTTTCTCTGCATTTATCAATCAATACAATACGTTCACATGTGCGTATCAGTTTACATGCTACGTGCTTCAAAACAAAAGAAGGAGTAAGACAATGATTAAAAGTGCATATAATCTGGAAAATAAATCCTCATAATCACTAACTACTGACATAGTGTGGAACATTTTTCTGATTTGATTGCCATGCATAGACGGTTTCTTAATGAATAAAAACGTCTGCCTGTCCTCTATTCGCAGACAAGAAACCAATTAGGTTGATTTGAAGAATCGCCAAGATATTCAAATTTTACTATGTGTTCAGTGACTTTCTAGACCTTCGTCTATCGAAGTGAAAACTTTATATCATTGCTCAATTCAACGTCGAGCTCTATGACATGATATCATTTTTCTCGATCTATTCGGTAATTCATGGGCCAACATAGCTGATGCTACATTTTCGCAATGACAAGAGTCGATTGAATACGAAATTCTAGAATTGCGATCAATTCTATCTCACACAGTTGATATCTAAAGAGCATCTCGTTCTTCCTATGATTCGCCATAGAAAATAACTCGTGTATAATGCCAGTGGGCATCGTACTAATAGTTTTGTCAAAGTGAACTCTTCTTTAAATAGATTGAAAAACGGCATGACGCAATGTTACATGATTTTGTTCAACCAAAAATTCCAAAAGATTTTGCTGAAACGCTAATGGCAAAAAAGAATTATTTAATCACGCCATCATATAAATCATTTTCGACAACAACGCCAGCATCACTTGGTATTAAACGTCTTAATCCGCCATTGGATCTCGATTCAGATTTGTCCGATGTATTCGCTCGTCAAGAAGACGAAAGATATAGAATGAAATTGAGACATCAAGTTGAACGAGTAAAATTTCAAAACTTCAAAAAAGAAAATATTTTTCTGATTTTTTCTAATTCAGGAAAAATTAATTTTATCACATGAACAAGAAATTTTACGTCTCTATGGAAATGCTACACGATTATCAATACATCAAGATATACCATTAAGTTATTGTTCATTACTTAAAGACAATGAAGTTTATAATAATCCTCTGATACAAGAACGTGCATCATCATTTATTAATAATGATTTTACAAGTACAGAATTAGGTAAACGTGGCAAAAATCGTTGGAATGGACGTTCATTTATTAAGTGGCTTGAAGATTCAAATCTTAAATATAAACGTCTTAGTGTAAATATCGTTAAAAAAAACGCAAAAGAGCTGTTGTTCATTACATTTTCTATTTTACTTCTAGTGTGAAACTAATCAACGACAAAATCTTGAAGCTAATACACTTTATTCTATGCAACGTATGGTTTGGTTAAAACGTTTGCCCAAAGAAACTTCATCATCCGGACGAATAAGTTCTCTTTTATCTGAACAATATCTACCTAAAGTAGAAATAAATAATAACTTTTGGACAGAATGGGAAACAAATTCAATTTAGTTTGTGTTTTTCTTATTTATACATGAGAAAATTTATTGTTTGTGATATTCGTCTGTAAGTTTTATGTAAATAAAACCAAACGATTTTGTTTTTGATGTTGTTTTTATGTGAAATTCCAAAAAAATATCATCGGTATTAAATTTATTTATATGACAACCGAAGCAGGAGATTTTTGTTTTTCTTGAACTTCGCCTAACTTCACCTAATTTTTATCAGCACAAAAATCCTAACATGCCTCGAAACATTAATCAGTAGGACAATAAATTGCAGAGTGTTTTTATTTAAAATAGAATAAAAATTAATTGGAGCCCTCTTTCAAACATATTAATCGCTAAATAAATATGTCAAGCAGAAATCCACTTTTAGTTTTAAATAATTATTTGAAAAAGCAAAGTAAATATTATACTTAATGATCCAACCTGGACGAGACGATTTTTCAGTTCCCGTGAAATTTTTACTAAATAGCAGTATCGCATTAGGCTTTTTTCTTCTTTAAATATTCATATCTTCAATGAGCTTATGAGTAATACCAGATGAACAGATAAGATTTGCATTAAAAGTCGCATGGCTTTTTCTATTCCTCATTATTAAGTCATTAGGACTAGACATGCCGCACGTTTTTCCACAGTATTCTGATAGTAGATTGCTGGAAGGCAAATATTCCAATCTTGGTTTTCTTAAAATAAACTTTATTCATTTTATAAGAAGAATTTCCTTTGTGAAAACAAACTTCGTGACAGTTTTCTTTTTAAATTGAATGCATGTCCAAATTCTATCGTTTTTGCCAATTTGTGAAGCCATGCTGTCGAAATAGAAGCTCATCGGTTGAGTAGCGATCGACTGTATTTTCTAGAAAAACGTTTTTTCCTCACAAAATATTTGACAGTGTCTAGTCTATCGAAGCTTGTTTTCAGCTACATTATGATTTTCTTTTCTCTTAACGAACCGAACTGATAGTTACTAGCGAAAGAGCTTATTTTAGTGGTAATTGCTTGCCTAGTCTTTGGTTTCTTAAGAAGCTGTGACAAACTAAATTTTTGATTTCACTTGTCCCCCGCATCCATATTTTTCTGACCAAAATGCAATCTCTAGTAAAATAATGATCCTGTAAATATTTTCATTATTCGACTGCAAAAGATCAAAATTCAGGCTTTTCAGTTGGGTTTCAGGGTATAAGATTGCAGTATAAGGAACTCCTCGTGTTAGAAACCTTATTCAATATCTTTCATAAGCTAGACAGACATAAAAACATGTTTACGTCTAGTTACGTAAACTATGTTGTTCTTCAAAATATATCATGAGCGTTCACGTGAACATGTTTCAGCAATGAACCGATTGAATAGTTAATGAATTTCCTTCCGCAGTGGTGATCATACCATAATGCTGCGCTTTTGTATGAACCTTCAAAGAAAAAAATAAGCTCTGCCTGAAGATAATCCTGGTTTAACTTTTACGTACAATAACATTAGTATTGTGTATAACAAAATGATGAATTCTCGAAAGCGTGGTAACATCTAGAAAAAGTTCAGACAATCCAGCAAAGATTCTCTCATTGAATAAGTTTTACTATGTAATGAATATTATATAGATTGTAGTTTTCTTCATACTTCCTCAGGCTTCTACAGCTCACAGCTATACGGAGTACATCTGACTGTGAAGTAATCAATATAACTATGAACTATTAATAATTACGATAGGAACTACAGGCATTTTAATCATAACAATAAAAATAAATTAAGTTACTAATAAAAAATACAGATATATATATATATATATATATATATAACCTTTGTCAATGAGAAAGCCAAGTTAATATTACTTAAAATTCTTTTTTTCTATTTTTACTACCTCTAGTCAAGCAGCATTGCTCTTTTATTTCGTACTGGAAATAAAAATAATGATTCATTTTTATTGCAAAGCTGCTTAGTCCGTAATCCAATGGACCAAAATCATGCTGTTAAATTGCTCTATGACACATTAGTAACTAAAATAGATTCAGATTCGATTCTTGAAAGTGCATCTTTTTGTATGAAAATCAATAATAAAATTCAAAATCAAGTTGCTATCTAGTCTTATGACTAAGTTTCCTTCTTACACGGTTTCTTCAAAGGCAATTTTCTTGTGTCAAATCAAACAAAAATCACTTTTTTTAAAGAAGTTTTCTTGTATCACTAAAAATCAATTTTTTAGTTTGTTCATTTTAATCTGCGAAACAAATCGCAGTGACACATTCTATTTCAGATTCTCTTTAAAAATACTGCATAAATTATGGAACTGATGTAAATAATATATTCCTATGGTCAAATCATTATGGTTGTTTAATATATTTTGAATGAAACACTGTTCAACATGAATATCTCTCTCTCTCTCTCTCTCTCTCTCTCTTTCTCGAGGTTGACATATTTTCTCATAGGTATAAAATTGTCCGACATTACCATTAATCATATGTTTTAGTCTCCATTGGAAAGAAAGAGCTGATATAGGGGTCGCTTTTCTTTCATTCTCGAAAATTTACCTATCAAGAGTGCAAGAAAAAAATGCATAATTCATTAATTTAATAGATCAATTCATTTTCTTAACTTTATTGTCAAAACTCATTCAAACAAAAAAACCTATCCGATACATTCATATATGATGCTATTATAGTGTTGGTTTAGTTAATGATCAACTATTTTTAGGCTTATAGATCATGACAGGCTTTTCTAAAATAGCTGTCTACCGGCAAGATTTACCACCAACTGGTGGTTATGCTCCAATGTCATGGGCACGTGTGCCTGCACGTCGTATACCTTTATGGCCGTTTGTTTCTCTATGGGTAGTATCGAATATATTCGGATATTTCTATCATGCATCTGAAAAACGTCATTATTGGCAAAATGGTAAATAAATGATTATTATATTTGTTGTTAAAAGAAACAAAAACATTTTTCTATGTTTAGAAATGGAAACGGATGAAAGTCGTTCATGTATAGAACCAGTTTTATTAGCCGAACAAGATCGTATTGTTTTAAGACAATATCGAGCTAATCGTGATGAAGAGACAAAACTCATGAACGACGTACCTGGCTGGGAAGTTGGTACATGGTTTGGTGATAAAGTTTTTAAATCTCGTACCTTTTTTCCTGATCGACCACATTTACTTGATTATTATGGGGTGTCTCGTCCATCGACACAACGTTTAGATGTTAATGCAAGTCAATGGCAGCTTTAAGAAGAAGAAAAAAAGACCCAACAATAAACATTAGTCACTATTTGTCCCTGAATTTCTTTTTGTCTTGTTATCTTTTTGCGCTCATGTAGAATAAAATCAGATTGACGTTTTTGTTCTTTTTCAGATAAAATTATTGACCGGGAAAATTTACATATATTTTAATTCAACAACAAAAGAAAAAGTATCTATTACGAACAGGTAAATGATTTTATTAACTTTCAGTAACAATGTATTTTGTAAACCCTGATCAGAGATTATTTTACATTCTAGAAATGATCACATAGATGTACTGTATACGATCGATTGATATTATAAAGCACAGGATTTTCGACTAGATAAGAGTTACCGCAAAAATTAATCTCCAAGGATTAGTTTTAACATGAAAATAGAATCGACAGTAGGTTGATATTGAAAATTACTAACTAGTACTTAGTATTAATGTCTGATACAAGCTTCGATGAGAATGAAAGCTCTATTAATAATTTTTATCGTTTGTCTTAAATGAAATAGTATCTGACAATTATTTTGTTTTCATATTTTAGATTATTTTTTTGTTGAAGTTTTATTTTTATAATTCAATCTTGCGATTTATCTTTTCGGTATGTAAGAAAAAAGAAACAATCACTTTTTATTGATACTAAATATAGTCGCCTGTACAATTTAATAATCTTTTTAAATATTAAATATTCATATGAAATCATAGGACTGTTTTGTGTAATATATATAGCAGTAAAATAAAGAAATTAGAAAGATGAATTTCAATACAATTCATGTTTCCTTTTTTGTACTGTTTATAGCAAGATGGGAGATTGGATTCCGTCTATCCGGGATACGTTGGGAATCTAGAAGGTCCTGAGATCAGCTTTTCCTCACGTGCAATAACATCAATTGTTATCATTATTATGAATCCATAATATTTTCTCGAACGACAGCTGTTTTATTTTTTGAGTTACAAATGCCTATGGCAATCAAGGAGCAACATCAACTAATGATACATAATTTTTCATCTTACCTAGAACAGCTAATTTTCTATTTGTAATAAAGTGGCCATGATAAATAAATGAGTATTTTTTGTTTCAGGATTCACATGTATTCAGCTAAACCAGATGTGTTACTCCTTAAGATGGTTCTTTTCGTGCTAGAGTTGAGATATGTCACCCTAAAAAATCGAGCTTCGTTCGAGCACATTTTAAACATAAAGCCATTAGTTGTAATAAAGATTGTTGCAGAAGGTTGATGTGTGCAATCGGAAAGACAAACTAGAAAACTTTCTATTTAGAATTGTATGTTTTTGTTTGATCAATTCAAATGCCTGGTGCCAGTTTGAATTATGTAATTAAATCTATCAATTGTAATTCAGAAAAACAACAGTTCTTCTTTTGTTTCAGCATGGTTCTGTATCCGTTGACGAAACAGCAACATATTCTCGACGCATTCATTCATCTCAACAATATTATTATCATCATTCTATTGAACAACCGAATTTCTATCCGTATCAATCTCAATTATCAATACAAAGTGATAACCAACAGAAGCCATCATTGTCAACAACGGATACAAAAAAATGCGAATGTAAATATTGAATCTTGACGAATGGCAACATGTTTTCTTTTTTTCTTTTTTGCTTCTTACATAGGGAATGAACTTGAAGTTACTGGTAATGTTCGTAATTTATCACCTATGTTATGGACATTATCACAATTAACTGTTTTATATTTAAATGATAATCAGTTATCACGGTTACCATCTGAAATTGCTTGTTTAACAAATCTAGTCACACTTGATTTATCGAATAATAAATTAAGAAATTTACCATCAGAAATCGGTATGTTAGTAACAACTCATGATAAATAGCATCCGTTCGCAAATTGACCTGAAAGACACGTGCGATTGTGTACCAATACGTTTTGCACACATCTCAGAATTAAAAGATCGAGGGTCAACCCGCACGATTTAGCTGCATCGATCAGAATTTTCCAAGGCTTCGACTACCATTTCTGAGCGCTGCTATGAGAAAAATTCTTCTTCGATAACCTCTCGCATACTTTAGATTAAACTCCATTGACAGTTTCCATATGGAAATAGGCCTCAGTCAAAAGAAAATTTCCCAAAAAAATATATTCATATTAGCGTGCTTTATTTTGAAGCATGCCGAGAAAAAAACGCATTCCATTTACATTAATAATAAAGCATACCATTGACAGAATATTAAAAATGCCAATCTTTTGAAGAAAAAAACAACAAAACGAAGCTCAACGGTGCTGCTTAGACTTGCAATTACAACTATCGCAATTTCTAAAGCAATCTAATCTAATCGTTAAACACGCGTTCTAATCTCGAATCGACTCCTGTGACAATCAAAACGATATTCAACTTTCTTTAGTTCTAAATAATCTCAGTATCTGTTCGGATATGAATGAACTCAGCGTGGGTTTTGTTTCGCATTTCTCAATTTATTAAATTCAATTGTTCTTGTCTCTTGAGAAAAGACAATATTAACCAGAAAAGGATTCTTCGACTGAAGAGCTGTTATTCATAAATTCTATTGACTTTCTTAGAACAAAATCACTATGAATAATATATATATATATATATTGCTTTCTGACGTTCGATGAAATGCCAATAAAAAACTATTTATAGATATTGGATTTGAAACGCTGCCATAACCTCAGTGCAAGAATAAATATATGTAATGCTTTGCATGGACTTAAATTTTCTACAATACATCTTCATAACTGTCGAAAACAAATAATTTTCTCATGACACACTAACTAAGAGATTTTCTAATATGATTTTTTTTCAGGTGAACTTATATCATTACGCGAATTGAATTTAACAAATAATAGTATTCGAAATTTGCCTTATGAAATAGGTAAATTGTTTCGTTTACAAAGTTTAGGTAAATTGCGCATGCTTTTTTTAAACTCAATTCTTGCAAGCGATATTTTAATTTTAGGATTGATGGGAAATCCATTACCATCTGAAATATTTACAATTTACACTGAATCTAATGGTTTACAAAAATTATTGACATATTTTCTTGATAGCTTACCATCATCTCTCAACGGTATAATGAAAACACTAAAAACAAAAATACCTAAATCTGTTGTCCTCAGTTTCTATGTAATTAGAGATCGCCTATGAGCTTGTTTTTTCTTCATATACATTTTTTCAGGAAATAGGCACTATTATTATTATTATTATTATTATTATTACTACTATGATAATATTTGTTTTCAACATGGCAAAAATGCAAGATTGAAAAAGGTGAGCAACTCTAATATTTGATGTACCCTTTTAATTGTATTTCAAAGAACAAAATGATGTAGGAATAATATTTGATGACAACGAACTTCAAGCTTTAAATGAAATTTTTAAACTGTTTTGAATTAGAACGATGATTGCTAGCGTAGTTAAGTTATTCTATGAAGTAATAGGGTTATTTATTTATGTAGAAAATTAGGTGATTGAACGAAATTTCTTTGACCAGATGCTTTGTCATCTTTTGGAGTAAGAGCAATATGTTATATTATTTGTGAGTTTAGAGAATTAGTTGTGTCTGATGTTTTCTTCTTTTTCTCCTCTCTTCTCAAAGTTGTCTAATGGAAACTTGCCGACACAACTGACGCGTGGGTATGCTCAGTCGTATTCTGACAACAAAAAAGGGAAAAAAGGAAAAGCCGAGAAACAGAACAAGTACGAACCAGAAACGGTGAAACTACGACATTAGCTGTTTTTTCTTTTCTCGGCGTTTTTGAACAGAAAATAAAAAGAAGATTATTTTCCTACTATTTGTATCTTTCTTTTTTTTCTGCCTTCATTGCATTGTGAATAATCGAACTTCTGACATATTCACGTTATTTCTCTTGGAATAACCGGTTTCTCATTTAGAAAATCTTCGTTTCTAGTAGAATAAAACACTTTCCGATGTCTTCTTCTCAACCTTCATACGTCTTTGTTCACGAGAAACATAACGATGATCACTATTATGTGACCAGACAATAATGAAATAAATAACCGTGTTGTTTCCATTGAAATGAAAAACTGACAATAGATTGATAATTTTCCAGACCATTGATCTACATATATATATATACACTTCTCGTTTTTATTTCTTCGTAGTGTAAACAATTCGAAAATGTCATTGTAAAATGCGTTCCATTGCTGAACCGCGTCGTGCAATCGTCTCATGTAAACATATATTTTCATCCTATGCAAGTGATTGTTCTACGCTAACATCTTCATATCGATCGACAAAACGAAGATTAAACGGCAATATTTCGAATGCCAAAGTCTTTCAAATTTCATTCGATGATGAAAGAAAATTCTTAGTTAATAATGATAAATTACTCAGGACATCGTTAGATCCACTATCGCCTAGTTTTTATTCGCATCATCATGAAGAAACAATGCCAAGGTAAATGCTAAGATTTTTCTCTTTTTTTCTAAAAAAATTAATTCTATATTCTAGTGACATCAGATATCAATCTGAAACATCTGATTATGGTAGTTGCAGTACTGATCCTGAACAACAATTTTCTCCAATATTATTCAATAATGATAATCAATCATCATTTTCATTTTCAATTATAAACAATAATAATAATCGTCGCAGTAAATCATCATCATCATCATCCTCATCATCATTATCATCTTATGAATCTAATCATAAAATTATATGTTCTTGTGGAAAAGAAAATTTTCAAACTCGTAAACGTTACAAACGTTATATGAGAAAAACTTCCTATGAAAGCTATCAAACAAAACGTATAAAAACGAACTATCGTTCAAAATATCGTAAACAAAATTTTAATAATTCACTAATTAAATTTAGTATTGATCTAACAGGTCAAAATATAAATTATACGATTGAATATCATCATAATAGAGCAGTAGTGCCGTTTTATTATGATTTTTATTATATATCATGGCTTCAAATATATTATTACTATTATTACTATCTTTATTTCTATCATTTACAATTCTTCGATCGAGAGTGTGAGCAAAACCAAAACTCATGGCGATCTCTTCTCCCTCTTTTATTTTCTTTTTCTTTGTTTTCAAGCAGAACTTAAAGAAGAGAATTTTAATAATTTATTTATTATTTTAGCTATTCAACCACCACCAACACGATCGTGGCTTCGCCTTTCATCACCGAATACAACACAACCAACTGCCATATTTACCGTAATGAATTACAATATTCTTTGTGATAAATATGCAACAAGACATGTTTATGGCTACTGTCCATCGTGGGCGTTGAAATGGGATTATAGACGAAAACAAATTCTTGAAGAATTACGTTCCTATTCAGCCGATATTATCGCTCTCCAGGTAACTACAAAAATAAATAGCATTATATAGTAATGAAGAATGTAACATCGTTTTTATCCGGTCGTTGTGCTCTTCTTCTTCTCCGTATCGTTCAAAGTATAACACTCATGTGAATTAATGTGGAAAAAATTTTGTGTGATCTCTCACAATGAAACCCCTAGTGACGTCATCTCTGTAGTACGTCGATAATATTTCAGCAAAAAAATGATGCGAAAAAATCTCGTTGAATTTCTAAATCTCCACTAGGAATCTTTGGCTAATTAAAAACAAAATAAGAAGTAAACTTTTCTAGATCTGCAAACTCTAATAGATACAAGCTGTGAAATTACGATGTTTTCGCTGTGGGTAAAGTCTGCTGTTTTTTTTAATAGAGCATGTTTTCTAATACAAAAATTAATTGAAGTTTATAGAGTCGAGAAATGAGCTTTCCGGGTAAAAAGGAGCATTCCAAATCTATAGAAACAAAGAAGACGAACGAGCTCATCGCAAGCATAACGAGTGCCATAGCAACGACACAACACTAACGTGACATACATATATCTGCACGATGTTTCCTTCCCTCAGCAAATATTGCGATAAACATGGTTGATACATTATCAAAGGCCGGATATGAACGATGCCTCTTTATAAAAGACAAGTGACTTCCGTTTTGCATTTTTGGAGTACTAGCTGAAAAAATGGTGCATCGATATGTCCCACGATAGATAGACGAAAACAATCTTCCATTGATTAGGAATAGTAGCTACGCCGCATTTTTATATTTTGAATCCTAGAAGGATTGCACTAACATGATGAAACTAAAATTCATTAATAATTTAATCATATTTTTGCTGGGTTGCGGAAACATTTCGTCACATAATACAAAATCAATCAGTTAAAATACTAAAATTCTTACGGAATATAGTTAATGTTAAAAATATAGATTCAGGCGCTGAGATTAAAAAATTTTCCAACACTTTCATAGGTAAATTTCGCGACTAAATCATTGTTCACTAATGAGCTTTGAATTTACTTCATGATTTCAAAGAAATACAATAAAAGAACAAATTATCAAATACCACGTTTTTATGATAATTTATAAATCGTGACATGTTATTAAGACAAAGGATATGTTGAGTAGTCTAAATCAAATATTAGTTAACCCCTTTCAATCGTACTTAAGTAATGTTTTTCAGGATTCTTTTCTTTTATACAAATTTTTTTACCGTCATTTATGAGAAAAACAGCAGTGCATCAACACTGTTTATTATTTACTTTTGTCGTGACGTGTTGAAGCTAATTTCCTCGATGAAAACATTTATTTATGAAAAATATAATAATAATCTTTATGACTTCAAATATTTTAATTCTATAGGAAATTGAAACTGATCAATTTTACTCATTCTTCCTACCTGAATTACAAAAAAATGGTTATGACGGCGTATTCAGTCCTAAATCTCGAGCCAAAACTATGTGTGAACAAGATCGTCGATATGTTGATGGATGCGCTATATTTTATCGACAGTCAAAGTATAAAAATCTCTATCCTATTCAATTGGTTTCATTTATTTATTTATTTTTCTTTCAAAGATTTCGTTTAATCAAAGAATATCTCGTTGAATTCAATCAATTAGCTATGCTAGCTGCAAATGGTACCTCTTGTCACGATATGATGAATCGTGTTATGACGAAGGATAATATTGGTCTCGTTGCATTTCTTGAAACAAAAGAAGAAATTTATTCTCATACATTTTCTAATGGTAATTTAATTATAAAATGAATTGAAAAATGAAGTACCACCCTTTTTTGTTCTAAAGGTGTTCTACCATCAGATCATAGACAAATGTTATTTGTATGTACAGCTCATATACATTGGGATCCTGAATATTGCGATGTAAAAGTTGTACAAACGTTTATGTTATTATCCGAATTGAAAAGTATAATGGATGACGCCATACAAAAGCATCGACCAAATTTAAATACATCCGTCGATTGTGCCACAGTTCCATTGGTTCTTTGCGGAGATTTTAATTCTTTGCCTGATTCAGGTAAATAGAGTAAACAAAACAGAAGATATTTACGTTTTTTCTTTCCATTAAAAGGTGTTATTGAATTAATGCGCACTGGTAAAATTTCAATGAATCATGCCGATTTTAAAGATCTCTGTTATGACTCCTACTTGAAAAAATATTGTCGTCTCGATGAAGATTTAACACCAAGCAATGATATTATACATCATTTTAAATTACAATCAGCTTATGAAACAACAGCAACATCACCTATCATGCCGTATACTAATTATACGTAAGCTTTTATTAATACTCTCTAAATCGAAGTGATTTTAGGCATCGAAAAACAGAGGCCTTGCATATTTTTATTCTCGGCAGTATCAACTATAGTTCAAATGAACATTTTCCGGGGCATTAGTACCTAGAAATTCTAACAACGAAGTATCTTGATAAAAGAGTAATGACGCAGCACGTTGAAAAATGATCTGCATATCAAATAAAACGACAGTAGAATTCACTATCCGTTCATGTTTCTAGAACAAAGAATGTTCTTTAATGACACTTTATCGAACAGAAAAGCACACTAATTGTTATTATATCCTCTTCTATTGAAATGTTGAATAGTCGTGTCTGCCAGATAGAATTTCCCATGTAATAATTTTCTATTAGCTAGTTTTATAACAAACAAGTTCACGAGGTGCAACAGACAGACACATATAAACATTCATCAAGAATTCTATGAGCATGTACTACGAGTTTATTGCTTTTATTCAAGTGTTAGTCTACATCCGATTCACAACTTAGAACCCACGCTTCTCAAACGGCCGAGATCGATTATCTGTAAAGTTAATATCAGATTAGATTATGCCTACGAGACATACACAAATGTTTATGTTCTACTTTTTCACGATATAGAACAAGCTGGACTCCGAGACATTTCGAACAAATGAACTTTTTATTTTAGGTACGATTTTAAAGGTATTATTGATTATGTTTTCTATTCAACACAATTAATGCGTGTACTCGGTGTATTGGGACCCCTTGATCCTGAATGGCTTCAAACAAATAAAATAGTCGGTTGTCCACATCCGAACGTTCCATCGGATCATTTTTCACTTCTGGTCGAATTCGAACTGAATCCAACATCGAACGAGAATTTAAAAAATTCTACAACATCAATATCTACACGACGACAATAATGAAAACAAAAAAGAAAAACACTCGCAAGAAAAATTTTCGGTGAAATCTCAGGGTTCATATAAAGATTATCTTGATTAATTTTTATTCTTCTACGTCTTTTCTTTTTTGTGTATTGTGTATGTCTATCCTTCGATTAACTTGTGTTTTCTTTCAAAATTGTCACTACATGTATAGTTTTCTTTGCATTTTATATTGACTATTATCTGCTTTTTTTCTGTCCATCATCTATCATTTTGTTCAAGTGACATAAAACCAATACAAGAGTTCGTGGTTTTTTTCTTTACTGTTGTTGTTTGTTTGTTTGTTTGTTTGTTTGTTCTTCTTTCTTTTTTTATGTGTCTGTTTCACGGCAATTTAAAAAAAAGGTCGTCTAATAAAATATATTAAAGAAAGTTTTCCTTATAAAAAAATTAGTATCAAAGATTGATCGACGACATGTCGTTTCTATTGTTGACGGGTATTAAGGTCGACATGACCAGTCTGGTTGTATTTCAGAAACTGCGTATCATGATAAAACGATAGATTCATTTACGCATGAAATCTAAGCTCGATAAGTGCGATAATTAGTATTTTTGACTTATATTAGTAATAACAATAGAGATAAGATTAACTGGAACTATTCTCTATGTGGATTTTATGAGAATTCTTTAGAAATCAATTTACAAAAATAAAGACTGTTGCTAGTTGTTCGCAAAAACAAAATTATATTCAGCAATCGGCAATCATTTTTTACGTAGGATCTTCATAGTTTAGTAAGATCAACACATGCAAAATGCGAGAGATTTCCAAAGACTTCTAACTACAGTCTCTGCCAAAAAGAAGCCTGTCGTAAATACCGTGTTTCTAAACTTAGTCTTCTCACTCTATTATGCCTACGTCATTAGAATTTTCTAATATGATATCTCTTCGATGCTAAATAAAGATTTTCTTTGGCGCTTCATTATTTACAATGCGTATTCCATATTTAAATATACCGTGTATATTAAATGAAACCTGTTTTCATGGCCAATGTATTCACGCTGAAGATTTTCTTATTGGTTGGTATGAATTTTGTCTATGCAAACAACATTACTCAGGTTATGAATGTAATGAGCAAACGAAATTAAATCGGAGCGATTGGTTTATTATTTCAACATGTCTAACTACATGTCTATGCATTGTTCTATGTCTTTTATGTGTCCCATTTTTGCACAATTTTTTAAAAGATGATTTTTATCCTCAAATAATTGAATGTACACGTTCAACGCCCTATGTTGAAATTAGTTCACCAACATCTGCTCTACTTACTGGTATGCGAATCTATCGAATACCATCTGACTATCTATCGAGACGACGAACAATTATTGATCGGCTTGCACCATTACATTCTATATCGTCACTTGCGTATTTAACTCGTATTCGAAATATGAGAGTTCAAAGACGAGACGAGCAGATACATACATAATTAATGCAAGACTTAGAATAAATTCATCATAGAATTTCATAATTGATATTCTGAATACGAAATATAAATATTTAACTATTGCCAACGCAACATCGATTTTGTAGACGTATCAAAATATCTTATATTCTATTTTATATACATAGCGTAAAGTCTAATACTGAGTGTTTAAAATAAGCATATATTTTGATAAAAAAAGCAAACAAATACGATAGAAGTATCGGAGCGAGCGGTCCGTTTCGAGCTCTGTACTGTAGTGAACATCTGTACCGAGGATAGTCATAGCGCAACTTCTCCAGTTTGTCAGTGGCTACCATAATAAAATACACATTGCAGTAATATAGCGAAAGAGAACATCACATCATAATCATCTTTCTTTCATTTTCGTTACCTTGTATGCAGTCGAATTTGTTCCCAGGCGAATGTTGCTTTTTTCTATGTTAGCGTGATTGCTGTGGCGCTTTCCGTCACACGTAAATAGAAAATACATTCATTTAGCAAAAGCGCAAATGAAAAAAACAAGGTCAATAGTCAGGTATATGACTCGATTGAATGACTAAATCACTGTGTAAAAGAGAAGACAACAATAAATGCAGATGCCGATTTCAATCGTAATGATTTTCTTGTAAGAAATTTTCATTGCTTATTATTCATTTATGTTGACAAATTCATGTGCGAGAAATTATTCTGGCTGCGCGCTTTATGGCATATAATGGTACTCCCTCTTTTTCCGAAGTTCGGTTGATCAGAAAACCCTTGAAACTTGCAAGACCGATAGACCTTGACGAGTAGAGCACAAGTTGTGCTGGACCGAAAGTTCCATAATGTTATCTTCTACATTTCTCCTCCATTTCAAGAAGCTACGATGGATCGAGTTGGCAATCTTTTTAAAAGTACTCAACAGTATTTAGGATGGATATCCTTTTGTGATTTCTTTCAATAAAAAGCGCTTGTTTTTGGCTAGAACAAGTCTTCTGAAAGCTATTAAACCGCGCCAGAGTAAAATTGTTCAAATAAAAAATAAACACGGGCAACAAATAATACTTCTTGAATAAAAAAAAAGGAAACTAATGCATGCTACAAAAAATAAGTTCAAACTCGAGAATTTTCGATTTCATCATATTGATCGTATTTCGAACTGAGATTGAACGATGTTCCGTGCATTTTCACATGATCATACACAAAAAATTAGATAACTACAAGCAGCTTAAACGCAAAGATGAAATAGTTTGAAACAAAAAGGAAAAAATCGAGTCCTTTCGATATTAAAGGGTGTTGAAGATTGTTATTTTCGAGATCTAAAGGTTTTCAAAATAAGTTTTATTCTTTTGCAGATCGGTAGAACACACTTTAAAGTACATACGTATATCAAACAAAAATAACCGGGGAAAAAATTAATTTTTCACATTCGGAAAGGGAGGGGAGCCTTAACCTAACTAGAAAATTTAATAAAAAAGAACAAAAGTCGGTTTTGGAGAGATCTTAGGACTAGGGTGCCTTTATTGTGCTTTATTTTTTTCTCATCTGATGTGTTATTCAAGATTTTCTGTAGAGAATTGTAGAGAATTTCACGCGCTATCAGAATATGTACGAATATTTGAATATAAAAACAAATCGAGGGCAACGTTTTTGCTTCCAAGTAAATTTTTCTCTCGAAAATATCATAATCTTGTTAAAAAAATTATTGCTACTGAAAATCAAAATAACAAAGTTTTGAGTAAACCATTCGATGCAATTTGATGTTCTCTTTCAAATGAGACTATATTTGAATTCATTCACTTCCCTGATTTGACTGATTGACCTTGTACACTGGGGCCCTGTTTTCTGAGTCCGATCGACTGTATGGAGAAATATTTTTCCAACATAAGATACTTTCAAACGATAGCCCATTGACTAGACTATTGATGGTGAAAATGTTTTGCTACAGTTTTTATCGTCTTTGAGAAAATGACAATTTACTGAAAATTGTTGGTGCTCAAAAAGTCCGATCCCGTCTTACTTCGAGTGCATAACATCTCCAGAATGGATCATCCGTTCGAGCTGAAATTTACACTTTCACCCCTAACTTTGTTTGGGCTACCTACTGTGACAACATGAGCCAAATCAGTGAGATCGATTGAACAACCTTTTGCTGTAACTGGTCGTGGCTGACGTGCAATGACTCTAGAGAGTCATTCATAATATGCTTGATCTTGATTCTATGATCATTCTTATCGTTAATTTGTGTAAATTTCTTAGCGATTAATTACTTTAGCTTAATTGTTTATTATTGTTTTCCCGTAAAGAATTATTGAAGGTGTCATGACTCATAACAATGATCGTTTCTCTCGCTCGTTTCTTTCTCTTTTGGTGAGAATACTCACACATAAGCATGCGATTTTGTTTACTGACAACAACGTGTGAATTGGCTGATTCCACCAGCAGCAGGTAAACAATATCGAAAAGCGATGCACATTTACAGGATGTGGAAAAACAATTTATTAGTTTGACACATGAAAAAAGTCAATAGAAAAAAATAGCTAATGTTTCTAGCTTGGAAATTTCTTATTGTTGCGGGTGATTATCAAGTACTTGACGACGCCATTTAATTCGACGATTTTGAAACCAAATCTTAATAGAAAAGATGAAAACAAAAATGGGTGATTTCGTTTCTTTGTTTTTTTTAAAATAAACTTTACTTTAACTTGTGCTTCACTTAAACGAAGTGTATTTGCTAAATATAATCGTTCGCTACCAACCATATATTGTTGTTTTTGAAATTCAACTTCAAGTCGTTCAAGTTGTTCCGTTGTAAATATTGTTCGAATACGTTTAGATTTTATTTTAGAATTTGAACTTTCAACTAGCGAATGTTCGGAATCAAATGAGGATGATAATGCTAGATTTTCATTTGTTTTTAATTGATTTACAAGTGCATAGGACGCAATAGGTGAATTACAGAATGACGAAGAGGATTCAATTTGTACATGACCATCGTCGCTTGAACCATCTTCAGTATCATCGATATAGCTTGAATTATTAGTTGGTTTTAAAAGTGAATCAATATCAAATGCGCATTTTCTTACTGCTGGTTTATTAGGAAGAAATCTAGAGAGAGAAAAAAACGTTTCATAATAACTAATAGAACTTTAGGAATAGTCAATATACCTGTTTTGAATAGTTTTTTCTTTGGCTGATGGATATGTAGACGATGTTGGTAGGTTAAACATTTCTTTGAATTTTGAATATAGAAAATGACATGTGCCGATCATTAAATATGGGAAACTTGTTGTTTTTTTTCTTCTGCTTCTTCTTCTGCATTGATGATATTCGTTCGTTGTCAATAATTGGCTATTTTCTGTAAAGATGAACGCAATCAACCAATAGTTATGGAATTCGGAAGTGAGAAAAGAGAAATTCGACGAAGAGATGATCTTCTATTTTAATATATTCAATTTGCAACAATTAAAGAATTGTTATACATTGAGCAACAGTCAGAGATGTCAAAGTTCTTTACTATCATATGATTCGAAATAGTTTCTATTTTAGAAGATAATATTTAAATTTCGCTCGAATATTTAATTCAAGACAAAAAATTTCTTCTGATTAAATCGATTGTAATCAATCTTAGAACAGAAAATAGTTACCTCTTGCTACGGTGTCAATAATCTTTCGATCCTTTTAACTTTCTTTTGCGGTAGATTATTACAAGTTTTTATCCTTTACACTTTGATTAAAGAAAATTTTGTTCGTGTCAATACTATTCTTGATTATATGAAAGTTTATATTTTGGGTGGATCTATGTCACAATTAATAGTTTGTCGGATTCTTATTTTGCGTAGAAGGTGGAATTCATGTCATAAAAAAAATTTGTGTAAATATATTTCTAGTCGAATGTGATCTAAAGCACAATTTCAGCTTTTCAGTCATCTTTTCCTTTTAGATTTTGAATAAAATATCCTTGACATTTCTCATATCGACAAAATGTAATATTGAGTGTTAAACAAACGAAACTTCATGTCATTATGAATATTAAAATGATTTTTTAAGATGACAAATCAAATTGACTTTTTAGAAATTCATTGTTGTAATCTAAATTGTTAATAAGAGTTGATTGATTTGCGTTATTTCATCAGTATAGTGGAAGCATAATTTCAAAAAGATTTCATTTTAAATTAAACTATTAGAGCCGTAGGAGCATCAGCCTACGCGTTTATCAGCACGTCTTAGTACTTCATTATTTTCGTAGATGTTTCTCTTGAGTTGGGCATGTTGACATTAAAAATGAGATTTGGAAGTAATGCGAGAACTAACTAACTTTTGAAGTGCGCCGAAGGCACAGATCTCAAAGTACGATTGATCGTGAACAACTACTGCGAATTTAAACTTTGCCTTACTCAAGATTCACAAGTTTCGCAGCAATATTGTTCATGTACCAGGAGAGATGATGCTAGCATAACGAATTCTTGCATTTTTGTCACGTTTTTCTTCCTATATGGATTAACTGCGAAGAAAATGTCAGAGCCATATCGAATTTTTAACAATTGAAAACTCAATTCTTATTTTTCACTTGTGATAATGAAAATGGATACTATCACATTTTATAGGGTCTTCTTTCGAATCTATATTTAAACGAATTATTGAACTGTTGTCGATAAGGCTGAAAACGAGCCCGTACGATAGAATATTCACGAAGCATACGTTCAAGACAATATGCTCAATGAGTTTTAATTAAGCACCAATAATTGTGTTATTATTTGTTAATTGATTTTCGCTAACATCGATTATTGAAGATTCTTATAAAAAAGATCCGTTAGTATTATGCAAAATAAAAATACGTTGTTTACTAATAAAACACTTTGAAAAGAAGGCGTTCCAACGTGTTTTAAAAAGAGCAATTGCTAGTAATTGAGAAGAAGTTTAATTTTAAACGAGTTGTCAAAGAAAAGCTTAATCGCCAAAAAAAGAAAAAAAAAATTTAGTGTTTATTTTCTTGTTATGGTTGGTATTATTCAGATATACTCAAATAGCTACTACTGCTCATTCCACCGACAACTAGTACTTTTCCACTTGCTAATGCGCATGCTGTATGATAATATCAAGTATAACTCATACTACTGGTAACTGTCCAAACGTCCGTTGACGGATCATACAACTCAGTGCTATTTAAATAACGACTGCTACCCATGCCGCCAGCAACTAATACTTTTCCATTTGTTAATAAGGATGATGTATGATAGTATCGACCATAAATCATACTTCCAGCGATTGTCCATCCTACCAGAAAATATTTATTATATTTATTTTAGGAAAAAACAGTATTAGTAAAATCCCTATGAGATTAAAATGTGAAACACAATGTAGCTATTGCCTATAATAATATGAAAATTACTTTTAGTCGATTTATTTCACGAATAATTGTTTCACGATTTCCTATTCAATCATGTACAAATGGCTAGTATAGCCTAACAAGGTGTTTGGGATATATGGTATGGAAAGTTTCTGAAGTCCATCTATCACGTTCTATGAGGAGGAGTGTAGCAAATTTCTACATCAGATGCTTCAATATTCCTTTTAGATTTGTTTCATAAAATGCAGTTTATCAGATTAAATACTTTTGTAAGGAGCGTTACCACTATACGAGATTCACCTCTCAAAAGTAATCATTTTTAATACACGAAAAGCACACATGCCTGTAATTAGTACTGTTGAACTTGCGGATGTAGTCGTGCTTGTTTCTGTCGAATTTGATGAGGATGTGGTTGTTGTTGTTGTTGTCGAAGTTCCTAAGGTTATTATTGATATTATTATTTAAGGTATAGTTACCGTTAAATAAATCTATTTGTACTTAGGGCAATGATGATAAATAGGGTGTGGATGTGTGGCGTGATTCCTTAGTTGCGCCACACACCCACACCCACACCAGTTTATGAATTATACATGCAACACAAAATTTTTATCACGTCTTCAAATATTCACTTGAATCTGTCACAAATACTAATGCCATGATACTTTACATAGCTTGAGTTTTTGATATTCAATAAATCAGAATTAATTCATAACGTTCGAATAGATATTCTCGTGTTCCTGCAGTCTTCATGGTGAGTTTGAATAAAAGAAAAAGAGAAGCTCACTATTAAACGAGACTATATGGCTGGTGGTATCCACTGTTTTTCTTTGCTTTCGTCTTTATTAAATGTTCAATGCATAAAAGTAAACTGAAACTTGTGAATTAATCGATTTTTCTAAGTAAAAGCATAATTTTAACACTCACTAACTAATGAGACAATCATCAAAACTTTAACAGAAGAATCTTGTGTTTACCTGTTGTTGTCAATGTGCTGTTAGACGATGTTAAGCAAAGTACGATTATAGCAACCAACATTAAACCACCCACGAGTAGACCTAACAATAGACCATACAAACATGGGGATAAGTTTGTGCAGTATTCTGATAGTTTGCTTAATGATATATATCTAAAAAACACAGCACTTCGATGTGTATTAAAACTGAATCGATAGTTAGCTCTTGTCCTTTGTTGCTTTGACCATTTGCATGGTTTTTATTAACATTGGCAAGCCAAGGATGATTCAAAACGGCCTTGTTGTTGTTTAATCTTTTCAGCAAATCTTGACGACTAGATAGATCATTTCAGTTGTTGACCAATCACTTATTGGTAAATGTTGAGAGATTGTCGTACCCTTGAACATTTTTATTAGTTCGATGAATTTATTGCTAAAACAAATCTGTCTTTGTCAGACTGTTATAACATGTGTGTTTTATTGTATACAATGAAGCATTTATAGAGAATCTTACTGTTTTACAGCTCTGTCTGTAGCGAAAGAAGACTTGATTAATAATAATTTGCATTTTATTTTTATGAAGGAGAAACTCTCTTTGCTCTTAATAACAAATAAATGTGGAAACTTCGGATTTCATCCGAGAGTTATGTGTACTGCAAAAAGTGCATGGGACATATGAG